ACGTGGCAAACGAAACAAACCAAACGAAGCACAGACAGTGGTTTGACAGTTTCTGAAGTTGTCACTAAGGCTGATGTAGCTAAGGACTGTGACACTAAGGACTCTGTGACTAAGGCTGTTTCCTGTCAGGAGGTTGCGCAGGTCAGGTCCAAGGTCAGAGCCACTGGTCGGGAGCTTCAGCTGAAGAGTGCTGACATGTTGCAGTCGTTTTCATATGTCTGTAGGGTACTTCATTTTGGAAGCAGTCGTCTTTTTCAGCAGTTTTCTTTTGAGAATGAGCCCAATACAAACGAAACGTACTCTGAAACAAACAGTGAAACGTCAGAGAGTGATGGTTTCTTGTCTTGTGATGAGTTTTCTGAAGTAGGCAGTGATGATTTCATGTCTTTTGGTGGGGATTTTGATGGGAATTTTGAAGAAGATCCTACAGATCATGGCACATTTTTGATGATGCGTGGTTTCCCTGTAGAGGATTTGGCCCAAGATGACGATGATTTCATAGGTTCACCATCTTTGGCAAACACAGAAGACCTGGAGGAGGCTTTTAGGAATCCATCCAACCAACCCCATGAACCAAGTTTACCACCTCGTCCAGACACACCAGTGGACCTGAAGGGTCTGACCTGGAGATTGAAGTCCCAGAGTTGGGTGATGGACATCTCATGGTAGAGCATGAGTGCAGAGGCCACTGGCCTTACGACAGGGGATGTGACTAGTGCGTGCAGTCAAGATGACGCACACCTGCCAGGAGGGTAAAGGGTAAGCATGAAGTACACCCCAGTCTTGCTGCAGACTTTCTTTTTGTGGCTGGTAGACATTGGAAGGCTTTGGTCATTTTGATGATTCACACTGGTATGGTTGGGATGGTGGTTTGCGGTGGTGACAGGGATTTAGATGTGAAATCAACTGCATCTGTTCTCAACGAGATTGGTGTGGGAGGTTTGTCAGTTGAGGTAGCTACTGACAATGAGCCTGCCTTGAAAGCTCTTGTTGAGAGAGGTTTGGCCGCTAGTTCAGCTAGAGGCTATCACTGGAGAAACATTTCAGAGGCAAGACCCCAGGCAAAAAGTATCGAGAGAGCCGTTTGCATCATGAAGGAAGGGATCTATGCCAGTTGGTTGGCACTTGAACGTCATTGCAATGCCAGGATTGCATTGGAATCCCCTTTGTTAGGATACTTAGTGGGACATGTCTACAGGACATACAATGCATATTGTGAGGGAAAGGTTGGGAGCACCCCCTTAGAGTTGGCATCTGGTTTCTTGACATCTGGTTTCTTGGTCTTCGGGCAATCATCCTTGTAGGTGTGAGGCCGATGCTTGCCCGCACAGCAGGACAACACAAGACTTCTGAATGAAAACTATTTTGTGGATAACGAGGAGGGATTCCTATAGGGATAGGGCCAGGAGACGGGGTCGGCCTATACGTAGCTACGTCGCGCCAAAACAGGAGCATAGCTTAGCCCCTCTTGGGAGGGTGGCAACATGCAATGGGTAAAACCCCTAGTTTAGCATGTAAATGAATAGGGTCGGCAGAGCATGGGAACACGTTATGCATGCTGCAGCCCCTTGTGTGGACAACTGCCCATCGCCCAAGAACCTAGGCGCGTGTCACTGCATTGCACCTGGTTGTACCTAGCTTTGAGCCCAATACCGCTGACCGCGGCTACTTTGTTTTTTATCTTCAGATGGCGCAGAAATACTGCAGCATCATCCCCGCTGTCCCAGGCGCAAGCTTACGGCAGCTTCGTTTTCAAATATATCAGCGGTGATGAGAGATGCTTAAACATCCCGGCGGAATTATTACTGTCTGCCATTTTGGTACAAAATTGCATTTTTGCTTCTCGGCGAAGCATCATTTTTCATGGTTAAAAAGGGGGTCTCCGAAAGTACGTCCTTAACTTTTGGCCTCACACCCTTCCCAGCATTTTTGCTCTTCCAGGACGCTCGCAGTCTTCTCAACTAATCTCTTTGAGATATTTGGCTGTGACTTTCAGCAAGTCTCGTGGGTTTTCCCATCGCCATTGAAAGGAGCGGACATAATGAAAGATTTTCCATGATTTTCTTATTCACCTTTGTTCCGGAGGTGTTCACCAAATTGTTGGGAATTGAATCTTTCATCAGTTTCCACCAAGTGTCAATGCCACCTGTGTGGACAGACACTGTGCCTTTTTGACCCACCCTGCTTTGCAAACACCAAGTACCTTTGCTATGGTTTCACCGGCGCAACAGCAAGGGAACGTGCAGTAACATAGTATGACGCGTTTGTGCAAGTGCAAGAAAACGTGCAATAACGTAGTCTGTGACGTGTCTGTGCAAGCACAAGAGAACGAGCAGTAGCGTAGTAAGACGTGTTTGTGCCAGTGCAAGAGAATGTGCAGTAGCATAGTATAACGTGTCTGAGTAGCGTGGCAGGACGTTAGGTACGCGTGCACTTTTATTGCCCCACCCCACCTCACCCCACCCCATGTGTGCAAAAAAAAATCATGTCAGGATGCAGAAAAATGCCCGTTTTGCTGGACGGTACAAATTCCGTCAGCTTAAGCATGTGTTGAGATGATTTTGTGCATAATTCTTGTTTGAAAATGGATGTGTATGCATCTATATATATATATATATCTAGATTGGCTCAAGCTTTCGAAAGTCGGGACTGTGCACCCTGAGACCTCGAGCGGTTTGGCAGCTATCGGCAATCATGTCGTCCATGGCCACCATTCCGCAGACTGATGAAGAGGAGATGGAGACTTCACAGCTTTGGGGGTCAACCAATGGAAGCGAAGCAAAGGTTTCTCATTGGTTTTCTCGCGCGAGGGCCTCCTTCATTGTGCCCGCTGTTGGTCTCATGGTTGTGGGTGTCTTGGCATTGGGCGCGATTCGCGCGAATATGGCCCCTCAGACTGCTCAGGACCAGGCTGGAATTGTCCAATTGGGCGATTTCAAGATCCCAACGCTTCCAGCGAATCCGATCGATGAGTTGAAGAAAGAAATCAAACAACCAATTACAAAATTCAAGGCAGACTTGGGCATCAATGACTTGAGGGGGGATCAGATTGCACTTTGCGTCGTCAATCTCAACTTGGGAATCTGGAAGGTGATTCAGGTGGGCGCACTCATCACCAAAACGGTGGACAATTGCGCATATCAAACCACCAATATCGACAAGAAAGTTGCGTGCAATATCAATCTTGCTGCGATCATAGTTACTTTGTCAGAAATGATGGCCTTCTTCACCAGCACCTCCACCTTATGCACAGGCAAAACAAACCCAGATGCCCGCTGCACAGTATTTATGGCACTGACCTTCAGGCATTTGGCGCTCTTTGCTGCAGCTGAGAACCAAATTGCCCTCTTTTGCCCTAAGGCCTCATACGAAACAACGGTCGTGGAAGGTGGAGTGAGAACCTATGATGCTGCAGAACGCCGACTTCTTTCGAATTCATCCTTTGCTAACAGCTCTGCTGACAGAGAACTCTCCGCAGTGGTGGTTCCCGACCCCCCCGCCGCTCCGATTGCAAAATTGTTTTGCGCATGGAATGTTGCTGAGAGTTTCTGGTTCTTTGCTCGTATTCCCCCATTGGCCGACATCGCACGCAGACGTTGCCCGGCAGGGAGGACCGCAAGGAGCAAGGCTGCTTGTTCCGAGGTGATCAATAACATCCTCACCATGACATTCAACGGAGTCAAGTTGATCGCTGCAGCCACAACCAATTGTGTGGAAGGCACAAACGTGGCTGCTGGATGTGCTGCTGGCAGTCTGAATTTCATGTCAGGAATCACCGGGATAAGCTGGGTGGCCTCGGCCTTCGCAAACGGTGCATGCACAGATTTGGATGTAAAGAGGAAAGCTGCCACGGAGGTACGCATCAATAGAAAGATTCACAAGATTAACCTCATCAAGAGCAACACGCTGCGGCGCTTGCTACGAGAGAAGAAACTCGTAGGCCCCGCCATCGCACAAGCTCACCAGATGATTGCTCAAGAAGAGGAGGACACACGCAACAATGCCACCACAGAAGAACTTGTCCGCCATCTTATGCAACAGATGAATCCACAAGAAACCGAGACAGGTTTTGAAGATGATCCCTATGAACTTGTATTGTCACACCTCCAGAGCTTGAAGGCACCCAGTGAGGCAGAGTGGCAGCAGATGATGGCAAAGCTGGGCACCATTCAGGACACGGCCTCCAGCCCTGTCCTTGCATAGATTGAGCTTCATCCTTTGTGACTGAGAAGCATCGAATTCAGCTTCCGCACCCTTGCATGGAGTGCCGGGTGCGAGCTGGTGCCAAGAAGTCACTGTGAAGTATGTAGAGCGATTGCATAAAAGAACTAAAACACGCGTTGAAGTATGTGACTGCTTGGTTTGCAAACTCCTTGACTTCGAACCGACCCACAGAAGGTCCTCAGCCACAGCATCGCCTGGCAGGCATGCAGGCATTCCGAGCTGCAAGTAATCTGGCAGAGAAAAGTGATGCTTCTTCAGGTCCCAAGCGCTGCTTGGAGCTCAACAAGAAAGCAACAGGAGCACAATAGCATGGATAAGAAAACGTAAGAACGTCTATTCATAGAAATGTATGTATGGATCAAGCGCAGATCATCACAGCAAGCAATACAAGGCAAACATTCTGGACACTTGAAAGTGTGTATACATATATACCTGCATCTTCCAAGGTCGTCGGACTTAATGAGAGTTTGATTGGAGTTCAAATCACGACTATACTGTTCGTGATCCTGCATGTGGCTTTGCATAGGTCGAACAAAGCTCACAGAGGAATGTTGAAGAGGCTTCTTTTGATACTCCAATCGGGATGGAGGAAGGACACCAGCGTTTCAGATGCATTTTTGCCACAATACAATTTGAATCAGCAGGTCACCTGGTTGTTGAATTCACCGACAATTTGTGGGACTTACTGCAAATTTGTTCTACTGAAAAATGTCCGATTTGTTTGTGTCCACAATCTGCACCTGAACCTGAATTTCTGAAGATCCTTGAGCCCAAACATGGAATTCGCTCCTCCACAGGCTGGTTTAGAAAACATAGAGGGACCGGATGGTGTGGGAGACCTCACTGTGACCCTGAAGCAGCATGGTGCAGCATGGCGCAGCAGCGCGAAGCCAAAGGCTCAGCTCCAGCTGTTTGTTGTCCTTGTCGTTGGCCTTGTCCTGTCGCAGGTCAAGGAGCAAACAGAGACTGAGATGTCGGCCACACGAGCAGAACAGAAACATCTTGACATTTGATTTGGCGGCTTGGCGTCAGCAATGGTACACTGTGGGCGTGTGAGCTTCTGTGTTTTCATAGACAAACATTATGTCGATGATATCATCACGGCCCCATGTGCTCCTGTTGTTACTGCCTCCCTTCAACCCCATAACCATCCAATACTGTAACCGTCACTGGTTGCATGCAGTAATTGTGCAATATTGCACATTCAGCACATTCTGCTAGCAACAACAGCTAAGACCCTTGGCACTTCGTCATTTACCCTTGCAGCATTGGATGTACAGTATCACAATGATATCATGTAATGTACAATCAGAGACAGAAGGATGGATGAAAAGATGTGTATTTGTAGGTATACTTAGCTGCCATTACACAGCTCACACCAAGTTTTCAGAACAGAGTCCTTTTCAGGGAAGCTGCCACACTAGATCATACGCACGAACGCGTACGCGTCACAAACCCCAAGAGCATGGCTGTCGTGATATCGCTTGCTGGCTTGGTTCTGAGTTACCCTGAGCCAATGCATGGTTTCCTCACCGCAATCTTGCCAATTGAGATCAATGAAAATACTGCGCAGCATTTTTGTGGTTGATTCACGGGTCCCGGTCAATAGCTGGTTTTTTCTCAAGTTGTAGCTTACCTAGCGCAAGCCTAATTTGGTATATATATATGTGATATATATATATATAACATGATATTATCATGATATATACATGTGTGTGTGTGTCTCATTCAAGAGGGGCGGTCACAGTTTTTATCTTCCGGAGGTCATAATTCATTATTGACATTTGTTGTTTCCTCTTCGTAAGAAGCGGGCCAGCAGCTAAATCATGTAAATCACCAACTAGGGGCTAGATTCGCGCTAGCTCAGCGCTATACTTATCAATCTGTTGTGTGCAATTTCTGCAGCATTCAAATTTAAAACCGTATCGGTATCAGTCTCCAACCCTTGCGGCATGTGAACAAGACGACAGACATTACACATTGCATGATTGCCATTTTGGAAAAAAACAACCCTTTTTCCAGGGTCGTCCAAAAGCTCCATTTGATATCATTCAGAAAATCACTTTTAACTGTTGGAATTTAGCTCAATTTTTCTGTAGCAGCCTAAACTATTGTCTTGTATAGTGACCCAATGAAACGCACTTTTTTCAACACATTTAATTAAATATTGAAGTCAATTACGCGCTCCAGAGCGCGTAATAATGACGCGCTCCGGAGCGCGTAACAATGACGCGCTCCGGAGCGCGTAATCCATTCAAACAAAGTTCAAAGCCATTTAGTACCAGCCTAAGCTATTGTCTCGTATGCTGATCCCATGTATTTAAATGAAATGCACTTTTTTCAACACATGTAACTGCTGAAGTCAATTACGCGCTCCGGAGCGCGTAATAATGACGCGCTCCGGAGCGCGTAATCCATTCAAATCAAGATCAAAGCCATTTAGTAGCAGCCTAGACTATATTGTCTCGTATGGTGATCCCATGTAATTAAATGAAACGCACTTTCTTCAACAAATGTAAATAATACTGAAGTCAATTACGCGCTCCGGAGCGCGTAATCCACTCAAACAAAGTTCAAAGCCATTTAGTACCAGCCTAGACTATTGTCTCGTATTGGTGATCCCATGTAATTAAATGAAACGTACTTTCTTCAACACATGTAAATACTGAAGTCAATTACGCGCTCCGGAGCGCGTAATCCATTCAAATAAAGTTCAAAGCCATTTAGTACCAGCCTAAGCTATTGTCTCGTATGCTGATCCCATGTAATTAAATGAAACGCACTTTTTTCAACACATGTAACTACTGAAGTCAATTACACGCTCCGGAGCGCGTAATTATTACGCGCTCCGGAGCGCGTAATTTGTTCAAAGCCATTTAGTACCAGCCTATAGTATTGTTTCGTATATTAACCCAATGTAAGAAAAATGTACTTTATTCAAACATGTAACTACTGAAGTCAATTACACGCTCCGGAGCGCGTAATAATTACGCGCTCCGGAGCGCGTAATTTGTTCAAAGCCATTTAGTACCAGCCTATAGTATTGTTTCGTATATTAACCCAATGTAAGAAAAATGTACTTTATTCAAACATGTAACTACTGAAGTCAATTACACGCTCCGGAGCGCGTAATAATTACGCGCTCCGGAGCGCGTAATTTGTTCAAAGCCATTTAGTACCAGCCTATAGTATTGTTTCGTATATTAACCCAATGTAAGAAAAATGTACTTTATTCAATACATGTAAATACTGAAGTCAATTACACGCTCCGGAGCGCGTAATTTGTTCAAATAAAGGTCAAAACCATTTAGTACCAGCCTATAGGGCCTATATTATTGGACCCAATGTAAGAAACATGTACTTTATTCAATACATTTAAATACTAAAGTCAATTACGCGCTCCGGAGCGCGTAATCATGACGCGCTCCGGAGGGCGTAATTTGTTCAAATAAAGTTCAATGCCATTTATTACAAGCCTAAACTATTGTCTCGCATGTTGATCCCATGTAACTAAATGAAACGCACTTTGTTCAACACATTCAAATACTGAAGGTGTAATTTACTTTAATTAAATGGCATTCAAAACCATTTAACATCAGGCTACGGACTCCATATACCAACATCTTTGTTGGGGCCCTTGGGCTCAGATATGTTCAGATTCATTCCGCAGCTTGATGCTACCATTACTGTGGGCATGTACATGCTCACTTTTATGAAAGCAGTAATCTACTTGTCTAAGTATGTTTTTTCAAATTGTTTATCATTTTTTGTTGGTGGGAAATGGAGACACTATAATGTCACGATTAAGTGTGGTTACATGGACTCGCCATTTTCTTCCATCTCCACTCCCTTCTATTGCCTGTTTGGCGCTGATGGTGATGTTTTGCATTTAGGGGAGGAATTGTCCCTACATGATTCCGCAGCTGGATTGGATCAGCCATCAGCTTCGATTGGCGGTGGAATCTTGGCAAAACACAAATCCACTCAATAAGGGAGTTAGGAAAAACCTAACTCCCTTGTTGAGTGATTCAAGTTGAATCACTCAAGAGGGTAGTTACGTTTTATCTCACTCCCTTGTTGGGCCCTTTGTGTTCCAATTGATGTCACCTATTCAACAAGAATGACTCAACAAGGGAGTTAGGTTTTTCCTCACTCCCTTGTTGACCCGTTCAACGCGAATCACTCAACAAGGGGGTTAGGTTTTTCCCTACTACCTAATTGAGTAGATTTCACTCATTGCCTAGGATGCCCGTTCAAGAAGAATCACTCAACAGTGGGGTTCGGGCCAATCGTTCAAGAAGAAGAATCACTCAACAGTGGGGTTCGGGCCAATCCCCGTTCAAGAAGAATCACTCAACAGTGGGGTTCGGGCCAATCCCCGTTCAAGAAGAATCACTCAACAGTGGGGTTCGGGCCAATCGCCGTTCAAGAAGAATCACTCAACAGTGGGGTTCGGGCCAATCCCCGTTCAAGAAGAATCACTCAACAGTGGGGTTCGGCCAATCACCGTTCAAGAAGAATCACTCAACGTGGGGTTCGGGCCAATCCCCGTTCAAGAAGAATCACTCAACAGTGGGGTTCGGGCCAATCCCCGTTCAAGAAGAGCCACTAAACAATGGGGTTCGGCCAATCCCCGTTCAAGAAGAATCATTCAACAGTGGGGTTCAGACCAATCCCCATTCAAGAAGAACCAGTAAACAATGGGGTTCGGCCATCCCCGTTCACGAAGAGTCACTCAACAGTTGGGTTCGGGCCAATCCCCGTTCAAAAGGAATCACTCAACAACGGGGTTCGGCACTGAACAGTGGGGTTCGGCCAATCCCCGTTCAAGAAGAATCACTCAACAGTGGGGTTCGAGCCAATCCCCGTTCAAGAAGAATCACTCGACAGTGGGGTTCGGGCCAATCCCCGTTCAAGAAGAGCCACTAAACAATGGGGTTCGGCCAATCCCCGTTCAAGAAGAATCACTCAACAGTGGGGTTCAGACCAATCCCCATTCAAGAAGAACCAGTAAACAATGGGGTTCGGCCATCCCCGTTCAAGAAGAATCTTTCAATAGTAGGGTTCGGCCAATCGCCGTTCAAGAAGAATCACTCAACAGTGGGGTTCGGGCCAATCCCCGTTCAAGAAGAATCACTCAACAGTGGGGTTCGGGCCAATCCCTGTTCTAGAAGAATCACTCAACAATGGGGTTCGCGCCGTTCCGCCTTCAAGAAGAATTGCGCAACAAAACAATAGTTTAGGCTGGTACTAAATGACTTTGAACTTGATATGGTGAATTATGCGCTCCGGAGCGCGTATAATTTCTTTTAATATGTTTGTTGAATACAGTAGGCTTCATGTCCACAATGGTTTAGGCTGGTACTAAATGGCTTTGAACTTTATTTGAATGAATTGCGCGCTGTGGAGCGCGTGATTTAGTTTAACTGTTGTTTAACAAATCGAAAGATACAGGAAGTTTCATGGATTCCATGAGGATTCCATGAGGATTCCATGAGGTATAATATATTTGAATTGATAGCGTGGCCTGGTATTCAATGGTTTTGACTATTGTTTAAAATAATTTTAAAATAAATTGCACTCTCCGGAGCGCAAAATTTATTTGATTGCAATAAGGCCCAAAACAAATGAAAACCAGGCTAAACTATTCTCTTTGATATCAATCGGATGCAAATAAAACATAATTTACTCAACAAAAATACTACAGCAAATAGAGTTTCATCTCGAGGAAATCCAGTGAACTTGTCACTCCAGCCAAGCCTTCATCTTTGTAAAGCACCCTTTGGTGATCGAACCAACAAAAACTCAATAGTTAATAGGGGGAGTCCGATCTGTGTGCGAAAAAGAAATCCAGCTGATTGCCACCATTTGTTTGTTTGATTTTGTTTGTGGGACTCAAAATTTGGTTTCATCATTTGATTTTCAAGAGGGTCATTTGGACAACCCTGTTTTCGCGCTAGTACTGATCTAGTTCGGCACTAGCAAAACAGGCGCTGAGCAACTAGGAGTCCATGCCGAATGCAGATGAAGCTAGCAGTTTTGAAGGAGTATTCCAAGATGTATCTTGCAATTGGCTTCCAAGAGACTTTCAAGCAAAAGAAAACAATACAGTTTCAGAGCTCGTTCCGGCGCTGAAGATTCGAGTTCCAGCACCAGAGAGACCTCTGAAGAAGACAACTAAAATTCATGCGCTAGTGCACCTGCCACAATTTTTGAATTGATAACCCAAAATGCCAGACATGCCACGAAATCTAAACTTGTTAAAATGCAATTGCATGCAATTGCCAAGAAGCGGGCCCCCATGTGATTACGAATTGCGACCGCCTTCGGGAACCAACATTTTGCACGGGAGACATATGTATATATAGATATATATGTATATATAATATATATATATATATATTGATATTGATATATATATATATATACATATATACATATATACATTTATATACGTGTATAAATATACATTTATATATATATACGTATATAAATATACATATTATATATATACACGTATATATTCATATATATATATACATATATATATATATATTTGGGTCCATGTCCATTGTGATGTTTTTTTTCTACCGGTTTCTCTATCACTCCATCAATCTACTTGCTATCCATGCATCCATCTCTTTCTCTCAATATCTCTACCAATCTGTGTGTGGTAGAAACACGACTTGCGCCTGTCGATGCAGGTCTGCGGGCTACCTTTGGCTGATCATCGCAGTGGGACCTGTTGCGCTGACCATTGATCTGATCAAGGCAGATAAAACGTGGCCTTTTAAGCGTACAACACACGCGAGCCAGTGAAATGCTGCAGGAAATACATGGAGGGTTGAAGTCCTTGCTGTAAGGTTTGTGTGCTGTTATGTAGGCATCAAAATAGTGTTCATGTGATTTGGTGTTTGATGACCGACTTTGACTTTAGTCTTGAGCGACTACCACTCTTTCAGGCTGGACAAGGAGCAGTTGGAAGCACAAGCTGCAGGTTGCTTCTTTATGTCGACTCTTCCTTGTGCTTTGGCCAGATTAGGAGAGGAACAATGTCTGTCTCTAGACAATAGAATCACCAATTTTGTTTTTTTTATCAGAAGTTCTCCCTTGGATTTCTTGGACGGTCCTTTCCTTTGATGACTGCAATGCACACTATCGGTGCTAGTAGATGGCAAGACTTGTTCAATGATGTGCCGCCGTGATGGCATCATTCAATTGACTTTCCAACTGGCACATCTGGCACATCTGGCACCCGGCATTGTTTATTTGTGGTGAAGTATCATGAAGTCGTTTTTGGAGCGATGCCGGCGATTCCTCTAGCGATGCCAACTTCAGGCAGTCTTTCCGACTTTCTGGCTGCAAGTTGAACAGTGGCCCAGAGTACGCCCTCCATGCCTACATCAAGGCAGGTTGGCAGCTTCACAGCAGGGAGAGATTGTTTCGGTGATTAATAATGAGATATAATGAGTAAAGGTGAGATGAACACGTGCAACCAAATCGACCAAGGTGGTCACTCAATGAATGAACCTGGTTTGATTGGTTATATAGCCCTTACCCCAAAAGACATCGGTGACATTAGTAGTATGTAATAGTATGTATGCATTTGTTTTCAGCACAGAATAATATTTTCGAGGACAAACCCTGCAGGAGCTACCTTTGTCACCAACCAGCTCTGGTCCTTTTTGATGTCTTCCCCAAACGTGGTTGGCACGGCCAATGCCACAGCAGCCGGCTGGGGGAACTTGGGCAGCGGTGTTACACAGATGTTTATGATCTCAGTGCTGTTCAATCCAATGGTGAGTTCTGGCATGCCAGCAAACACTGCCTGGCGGGTTGCCATGATCGTTCCTGCTGTCCTTTTCCTGATTTGCGCAGCCACCATGAAACTCTTGTGTTGGGACACACCCGCGGCCAAGCGCTCCGATGTGTCTGTGACTGGTTAGACCCAGAAACCATCTTTGTGGGACTATGTCGCGGTGCTGAAAGACATCCGCATCATTGTGATGATTTTTCAATACAGTGTATGATTCGGCACCGAACTCGCTATGAACAACCAACGTGCCACCCATTTCAGGACCTATTTCCAAATGGATGCGGCAGATGCATCAGCCTTGGCAGGAGCTTTTGGCCTCATGAACCTGTTTGCTAGGTCCCTGGGAGGCATCACCAGTGACATCCTCTTCAAGTACGTTGGTTTCCGAGGTCGCATTTGGGCGCAATTCTTGGCCCTTTTCTTTGAAGCGGTCTTCCTCTTCTGCATGGTGGACAGCTCGCAGCCATGGTATGTTGCTTTGGCCGTGTTGATTTGTTTCTCCCTCTTTGTCCAGATGGCAGAAGGTACAACTGTGGAATTGTGCCTTTCATGAACAAGCAGCAGCTGGCGGTGGTGTCTGCACTGGTTGGGGCTTGCAGAAATTTGGGAGTTGTTATCCCTGGGTTTTGCTTCTACAAACCCATCAACGATCCGCTGCTTCCTTTCCAGGTCCATGCAGGACATGTCATTTTTTGGGCTTTGCTGTCCCCTTGCTACTACTGGCGGGAGCATGGGGGCATGTTCCAAGGCCCAGCTGTGGATAAGATCGGATAAGACCTTTGTGGATAAGACATCTGCGGATAAGACGTCTGAGCCAGCTGGGGAGAAGCCCCAAGCTGCAGAATCCACTGAAATGACCGTATAAGGTTTGGCCTGGTCTTTTTTTGTCATCTAGGTATTGGAGAAACATTTTTTTCGAAGATAGCAAAGGACAGTCATGCAGAAGGCATGCTTTGCTGGCCAGAATGATCCTTTGCATGGAGTGCAGGACGGTTGCAGAAAATACCGTATCGAGTTTGGCATGATTTGGGTAGCTTTGAATTTAAAGGACTGTCGTGCAGAAGGCATGCTTTGCTGCCCAGAATGATCCTTTGCATGGAGCGCAGGATCATTTTGTTTCTGGCGGATGAGCACCAACGTCGCTGATAGGCTGATCTCAGCGCGAAAAGGAACTTGAGCAGCTTGGGGCAAACCGCATGGAGAGTCTCTCTTGCATGGCTACATCTACAGCCAAGCGTGGCCTTTTCCATTGAATTTGTAGGCAATTTGTCGCTGTGTTGCTGTGAGGTCTACAGTATCTGTACTTGTATTGGTCTGTGTATGAAATGGAAAGTACAGTCCAGTCGATGGCATATAGCATGTTTATATATATATATATACACATTAGCCATATAGCCCGTCAAGCCGGACGGCGGAAGTTCCAAAAATCTAAAACAATTCAATGCTTTAGGACGACGCAATAGCTATATGAAGGGAATTCAAGTTTTTTTTCTTTTCTTGTCTTTTCCTTTCTTTCCTCAGCTTCTTGTTTTTGTTTTTGTTTTTCTCTTCTCTCTTCTTTTCCCTTTTCTCTTCTCTTTTCTCTTCTCTTTTCTCTTCTCTTCTCTCTTCTCTTTTCTCTTTTCTCTTCTCTGTTCTCTTCTCTTCTCTCTTCTCCTCTCTTCTCTTCTCTCTTCTCTTTTCTCTTCTTTTCTCTTCTCTTTTCTCTTCTCTTTTCTCTTCTCTTCTCTGTTCTCTTCTCTTTTCTCTTCTCTTCACCTCTCCTCTCCTCTCCTCTTTTCTCCTGATTTTTTTTGTGTTTTTTAAGACTCTATTTTTTGAGCTAGCTTTTGGCTTCTGGCTTCTGACTTCTGGCTCGTGTGGCTTTTGGCTTTGGGCTTCTTCGGTCCGAGGAGCGAAGAAAAGGAGAGAAATACCATGCAAAATGAAATGTTTGAATTTCAAGATGCTGCACATCAGAAAAATGATAAGTTCGAGTTTCAAAATGCGGCGAAAACCATACAAACTCAGAGGTTCCAGCTCCCAAAGAGGGCCGGTATGGACTAGTGCATCCCTCATGCGTCAGACCTGGGTTCAATACCCGGGTGCAACACTAGGCGGACAGGCGGGCCCGTAAACACCTTGGGGTTCCAGCTCACAAATGCTTCAGATATGATGTAAAATGAAAGGTTCAAACTGCAACACGTGCAGGCACTGTGCCGCTGAGAGTTCCTGTTTTCAAGAATATTGAATATACCGAAATTGATGGGAACCATTGGGAAATATAACTGTAGACGAAATGAGAGAGCTACCAACTGCCAACTAATAACAACAACCGCCAACAACTTACAATCACCACCACCACAACAACAAACAAACGCAAACACACCAACAGAACGCCTTAGGACCTTCACCTCCCTTTGTATTTGGCCTCTCAGTGAAGGTGTGGGTCGATTTCCAGGACTATTTGCAACATGTTCGGAGCTATTGGAAAAAGGATTTTGCTCAGACATTTGTTTCTAAGAGCTATTTCCTAGATATGAAGAACTATGTTAACTTGGATTTGTTCATTGTTTCACTTTAGAACCATCAAAAAAACGATGTGTGAATTCTACCATGTCTTTCATTCATGTGTGCAGCCAGGTTGACACATCTATCCGCTGCTGTATCGGATCGTAGGGCCCTTTAAGCCATACGCGCTGTGAAAAAGGTTTGTTTTGCTTTTTGGACTGCGCGATACCGTGTCAAATTCACATTGGTAGCGGAGCAGGTGACGACCTGCATCTGGGTACGTTGCAGATCCAGTGACCGCTTTCTTGTCCTCGCTCTTGTTCATCCAACCGTCAGACTTTGAGCACTCGTTCTCCGAAATCGGCTGTACTCAGTAGTGTGAGACAGCCCTGCAATCAGTTGATCCATGTGGCACAACCCAGCATCCGCCGAAATGTCCATTGCCGGACTTAAGTTTCAGCCAGGAACATCCAATAGAATTGCCGGATCCCCACAAGAGACTAAATCGGGGTCATACATCTATTGGGGTGATGCCGCATCTTTTCATGATTGGAAGTTCCGAACTGAACTCAGAATCCGATTGCATGATCAAGCCCAGTCGCAGCAGGATCCTGTTGATGGACCTGCGACTGCGACTGCGACTGCTGCCACTGCATCCGCAGAACCTAGTTGAGAGCCGACTGAGGAAGAGTTTCCCTTTTCTGGCCAACATGTCCCATCGCCAAAATCTGCTGCATCCCCAAAGACAGCTGCTTCCCCGAAATCAGATTCGTCACAGGGTAAGCAGAAGACACCTTCAGATAGAAGCATCTTAGTTAACAAGATTGTAGAAGGTCTTAGAGGTGATGCTGTTCTCTTGGCTAGAGACTTGGGATTGGAAACCGTATCACGCCCTGGAGGTCTAGCGCAACTCATTGAGACCATCCGGAATCATGTTTTTCCCAGAGCCTTGGAGGAAGGGAAAGAACTTTTTCGTGCTGGACAACAGATTGGTGGTCCTTTGTCACGGCAACCTTCAGAAGCATGCTGTCATATGTGCAGCGCCATCGTCGCTGGTGGAATGTTTTGACTGAACTAGATCCCAGCATGGCTGTTTCTGAATCTTTCCAGATTGAGCTGATGCTTGAACTTTCAGGGATTTCTCGACAGGAGATTCTCGTGGTGAAGGCTTGTAGAGCCGATGGTAGCTTCGAGAGCACTGCTCGTGTTTTGATTGGCCACTACAGCGGCATTCATCTCCGTGAAGGGTCCCGATCATGTACTGGTAAAGTAAAGGGTACTCAACTCAGGGAAAGTATGGGAAACCATCACAAAAGGGGAAGCCCTCATCATCTCAATCTGGCAAGGGATACAGTTTCAATAGATCTGCCCACATGGCTTACCCTGAAGGGGAAGATCAGGAGTGGGACGAATCCCAGAATTGGAATGAGGATGGTGGGGATGAACCAGACAAGTATGTCGGTTTATTTGGAGGTATTGAGGAACAGGAAGATCCTGGAAGCCCCGAACATGACTATGAATGGTTTGATGGTGTTGATGAAACGGAAACAGTAGCTTTCAATGCAATGATTGATTTCCCAGATGATGGTGATGATAGACAGATTGGTGATGCCATTCAGTTGCAACTTGCCACACATGCCGCCTTTGGCAAAGCCAGGGGAAAGGCAAGGGTTTCAAAGGCAACCAGAAGGGCAAGCTCGTCCGCAGCCAGCTGACCCTTCAGCAAAGGCGTGACCGACTGTCTCAATGTCTCCGATGTGGTGGCATTGGCCATTGGGCCGGAGACCCCCAATGTAAGTTTCCAGGAAACAAGGTGCAGGGAAACCCCAAAAGTGCCCCAAAACCTGCTGCCCACTTTGCTGATTTCAGCGATTCATCGTCCGATGATGGAGTGTACGTAGATGTTTCATATCCGAAGATTGCGACAGCCAACATTGCCGTCCGAGCATCCGTCCCACACCGCAGGACCTTGATCCCAGACTGAGGCCTGAGAAGCATGGATATGTTTTCCCAATGGGTCAGTTCAAGGGGATGACATTTTGGGATATCTTGCACACCCAGAGGAACTTCTATTGGTGGACAAAGAAGGAACCCACTCGAGTGTAGTCCTTACTTGAAGGAATGGGTTGCATGGGTTGACAAGTTTTTCGATGTTGATGACGCTGGAGTTTACTTGAGGGAGATTCCCAATGATGATCCTGTTGAAGACATGCCCTCAAGGCACGGATTTCACCGAGAGGGGATCAACTGAATACACCATCAGAAAAACCCCACCGAACCCACCAAAGCCCAACAAGTGCACCCAGTGCACGGATTTCACGAGAGGGGATCGATTGAATACACCATCAGAAAAACATGTCTCGTATGTGGCCATTCAGAAACCATCCGAAGGGATGAAGCCCCAAGGTTTTCTCCAGAGAATTGCACTCATGCTGATGTTGATTTTAGAGGATCCAGTCGTACTACCCATCGCACTTTTAGCAAGTTGTGTCAAACCTTCATTGATGAAGCCCCCATGGCTATTCGCAAGGAACGGGTTACCATTGCCAAGAAGGTTGAAAGTGCCCCATCAACAAGATAGCAATTGTTGATTCCATTGTTGAGGATGACGTTGATCACCTCACCCCTGAACAGATCGACAACATCCCCACCCAGTTTGCCAGCATTGTTGCATCTTGCAGCGAATCTCACGGATGACCCAGTTGGGCATCCAGATGGAATGGTTGCGGTTCCTGGTGAAGGAATAGACATGTACTCTGGGAGAGACGTGTACTGCATCTTAGATGAGGGATGTAACAGTAGCTGCCACTCCTCAAAATGGGCTGAAGACGCAACTCGTAAGCTCAATGCTTTGGGATATGATTTCCCATTCAAGACCACGGAATCCAAGAGCTGTGCGGGATTAGGCTCCAAAGGATCCAAGACTGAAGGTTTGAAAACCGTGCCAGTTTCCTTGCGATTTGCAGATTCCGACAGGGTCTTGAATGGGGCGATAGAATCACAGCAGCTTGCCTAAGGGGACACTCCCATCTTGTTGTCACTACATGCTCAAGCCGCCTTGGGGATCATGAAGAACATGAGAACATGTGAAATTTCAATTCATGGAAAACCCTTGAGTGGTTCAGATGTTCACGCACAGGGCTGTTGATGTTAAATTTCACACAAGGCCTTAGAAATGCCACTGAGGAATCAATGGATGACCCAGTTCCCAAATGTCACAGGAAATACAGGGCACTCACAGGATTCACATCCGATTCTCGCACCATGGCTGGCGGTATGGTCTCACTGACCAATGACTTCGGTACCCAGTTTGGGGACCCGCGTGCTGCTTAAGAGTACCTGAGCAACGCCGTGACTTCGGTGGCGAACGATGTCTTGGTGACTACGGGCGGGCAATTTGAGAGGCTGATTAGCCCTAGCTCGCCACGTTTGTTCAGGCACTTCAGCTGCAAGGTGTTGCACAACGCCGAGCATGTTTCTGCTGATCGAGCTCACTTGGGGTGGCATCCGAAGTTGTTGAAAGGGACCTTGGAGTCGGACGGGGTTGACCGATTGATGAATCAGCTTCTTCAGACGGTCGCCTCAGCAGATTCAGCAGGCGCGTTGATCAATCTGTCGCGCACTTCGGACAGGCACAGATCAGTTGGTTTTGGCTTCGCGATGTTTCATCTGCTGAGGAGCCGTGGGTACTTGGTTGAGCTGATTCACTGGAATAGTTCCCATTGGTCGGAGATGGCACGCGGAGGTCGAAATGCCTGTTGTCAGGACATTCAAGGTTCCTTCCGTGTTCTTCGTCATCTGGTTCCGAATCCGGTGCGATCAGTTGTTGGCCATCCAGTTCAGCATCCGAGCCCACCTGTCAGGGAGACGGCTTCGCGAAGGGGCCTTCCTTCAGCACCACCTCCATCCAGGACTTCGAGCCGATGATCCTGATAGGACATTTCGCCGTGATGGCTGGGAGAGCATCACATGGTCCTGTGAGGACACCGCATCACGATGATCCGGGAAGGACATCGCATGGCGCTGCAGATCGAGGCCGAGATCTTCGCTGCTGACATGGCTGGGAGTCATATGGAACGACAACTGGAAAGGATCTTAACGGTACTATAGAGCGCCAGGAGGAGATCAAGGTCAAGGAGGACGCGCTCCCCACTGGAAAGGCGTCGAAGGACTTCCAGGACTCCTCCACGAAGGCGTCCGCCGAGATCACCTTCACGTTCACCAAGGCGCCCATCTCAGAGACGATCAGCAGCCCCTCCATCGCCGATGACTACGCCGAGAAGAGGACATCCTCAGCTGCAGCCCCTGTCATTCTCCGTCCAGTCGAACCTTCCCATCCTCCGCCTCAGAGGGTGATGACCCGCATCGATCTGGAGAGCCGGTTGAGGCGTGAGCTGGTGGCGACCACAGGTCGCGGGGAGTTCGATGGGGCTGACGCCAATGTGGATGGGTTGACTGGTGAAGTTCTCAGTTTATGCATTGGTGTTTGCAAAACTGAGACCAACCGAGACACAATCCTTTGGATTGTCGACTCCTCTTTGTCACCGGACCTCCAGCAGAAGAATGGCATCAGAATCAGCAGCATATCGGGGATACATCCGTTCGAGTGTGATCCCTGTGCCGACATGGATGAAACAATCCCGCTGGCTTCGGACCACCTTCATGCGTCGTCGAGGATCCAGTGACAATTGGACCTTGTTCGAAAACCGTGCTGAACTTCCCCACGGAGCTTCGTTCACCGACTGCGAGATCTAAACTGTGACCTTTGTGCAGCCTCGAGTATACACGGCGTCTTTCGCAGCTGATGGGAAGGATTTTTCCCCGCATCATTGCGTGGGGTTCTTGTTTTTTGATCTGCATCCCGCGCCCTCCTCCTTCTCCTCCTCCTCCCTCTCCTTGTCACACAACATTGTTACACACAACTTTGTCACACGCAACATGGTCACACACGACTCTTACACACATAACATTCTCACACAACATTGTCACACACACACAACTCCTACACACATAACATTCTCACACACAACTCTGTCACGCACAACTCTTTCACACACAAATCTTACAGACACAACATTCTCACACGCAACATTGTCAAACACAACTCTTTCACACACAACTCTTTCACACACAACATTGTCACACACAACTCTGTCACACACAACATTGTCACACACAACTCTTTCACACACAACATTGTCACACTGGAGATGGGTTCACAAGAGGAAGGGTAAGGGGGTGTTCTTGTACTCGCCTTGGGGAAGCCTAGGTCTGCAGGTCCTCGTGTCACAACGATGGAAAATGTAAACATTCGCGAAAACTTGAAATTAGCAGGTACGTCTGGCTGATCAGGCCAGATATCAGCACAAACCTTGACCCTCTTCGTTGGGTCACCAGTCAAGGTTGTGGGTGACCCCCCTGCTGTCTATTCATAGAAAAACCGCGTGTTATAGCGGGCTACACACACAATGGCCTCCCTCAGGAGGCTTTTTTTTACTGAAATTGAAAATGAAAGTTCCATGCATCAAAGAAGTCGAAAGTTTCCATCAGTGAAGAAACTGCTCAAAAGATTCCGTATTCTTATACAAGAACATTTGCCAATCAGGATGTACTTCGTCCAAAAGATGTGATTGCCATAAGACGAATCATCCACTGAAGACGCAAAGCAGGAAATGACAAAGTGTTGAAACTTCCGTTTGACCTTCAAGACCTTGTCGGATGTCCATTTGTCTGTATAGTCAGAATAAATCTGTTGTGAAAAAGTCTGCCAGTATTGACACACACACACACACAAGCGGGGGGAGGGGAAAGGAGGGAAGGGAACAAGGACAGCCAGCCACAACAAACAACGGGGAAACGAAGGACAACACAACAAAGGCAGAGAACAAGCAGAGGGAGCACACAACAAGCAGGCAGAACAAAGAAAGGAAGGGGGGGAAGGCGGGGGGAGAAAGCACACAAGAACCCAACCCTGGCACGCAAAAGAGCAGGCACCACCAAGCACAAAGGCAACAAAGCAAAACCACAGCAGCGGAGACAACTGAAGCAGGACAGCCACCGGGAGGAACAAACACGCACCTGAGCTATGGGCAGGAGGGGAGAGAGGGGTGGGGTGGGTGGGAAGAGGGGGAAGGAAGAGGAGAGAGACAAAAGGACGGGAAGGAAAAGGGAGGGCGGTGTCCCAAGCTATGCATGCCGCATCCATGGAACCACCGGGGAGAAGAAAAGAGGTGCATCCAGCTATAACCATGTATCCAGGATCGCACCAGAAGTGAGGGGAGGGGGGTTGAAACTAAGTGCAGGACTTGACGAGGTATCGAATTGTGGTTGTAAATACCTTCTCAATGGTCCCATATGGACCTTCTCAATGACGTATGCACGTCTTCTCCCGGTTCTATGAACCTTCTCTTTTCTGGTTAGTCTCATGCTCGTCACTATCAGCGCACCTCCGCTGAAGTGACTCCGGCTCTTGATTGCTGATCCCAGTCAAGTACCGGGGGCAACTTCTCTGGCGTAGCCCACATAAGCTGATTACCAGACTTATGCGGTTGCCTTCGATCTATACGGGAAAATGCCCGCTCATGCTCTAGGTCTCCCCGAAAGGAGCCGACGGTGCGACCAAGTGAGGTCAAACACCCAAACACACTGGAGATGGGTTCACAGTACTCGCCTTGGGGAAGCCTAGGTCTGCGGTCCTCGTGTCGCAACGATGGAAAATGTAAACATTCGCGAAAACTTGAAATTAGCAGGTACGTCTGGCTGATCAGGCCAGATATCAGCACAAACCTTGACCCTCTTCGTTGGGTCACCAGTCAAGGTTGTGGGTGACCCCCCTGCTGTCTATTCATAGAAAAACCGCGTGTTATAGCGGGCTACACACACAAATCTTACAGGCACAACATTCTCACACACAACATTGTCACACACAACTCTTTCACACCCAACATTGTCACACACAACTCTTCACACACAACATTGTCACACACAACTCTTTCACACACGACATTGTCACACACAACTCTTGCACACACAACATTGTCACACACAACTCTTTCACACACAACTCTTTCACACACAACATTGTCACACACAACTCTGTCACACACAACATTGTCACACACAACTCTTTCACACACAACTCTTTCACGCACAACATTGTCACACACAACTCTTTCACACAACATTGTCACACACAACTCTTTCACACACAACACTGTCACACACAACTCTTACACACACAACATTGTGACACACAACTCTTCACACACAACATTGTCACACACAACTCTTTCACACGCACCTTTGACACCCACAACATTGCCACACACTTGGTGACATCCACGTGCTTTCTTTGTGGCAGGTGTGGCACTTACAGCACTGGGCTGGCTCTGGTGGCGCGCTTGGGCCGGCTTGTGCGGGCTTGGGCGCGGTTGTTGCCGCGCCTCTTTTGCGTGCCAGGCGTGGCACTTTGTGACATCGACCTTCACTTTGCGTGGCAGGCGTGGCGCATTGCATCGACCTTCACTTTGCGTGGCAGGCGTGGCACTCACGGCACTGGGCTGGCTCTGGTGGCGCGCTTGGACCCGCTTGGGTGTGTTTGATGGCGCTTCGTCACATGAACGGCGTGGTACTTGGTGCCATCCACGTGCACTTTGCGTGGCAGGCGCGGCGCTCGCGGCACTGAAATGATTCTGGTGGCGTGCTTGGACCCGCTTGGGCGCGTTTGACGCCGCGGCTCATGTGCGTGGCAGGCGTGGCACTTGGTGACATGAACGTTCACTTTGTGTGGCAGGCGTGGTACTTGCTGCCATCCACGTGCACTTTGCGTGGCAGGCGTAGGCACTCACGGTTCTGGTGGCGCGCTTGGGCCCGCTTGGGCGCGTTTGACGCCGCAGCTTGTGGCGTAGCAGGCGTGGCACTTGGTCACATGGACGTGCACTTTGCGTGGCAGGCGCGCACTTGGTGACATGAACGTGCGCTTTTTGTGGCAGGCGTTTCACTTGGTGACATGAACGTGCACTTTGGTACTTGGTGCCATCCACAACATTGTCGCACACAGCATTGTCACACACAACTCTTTCACACACGACATTGTCACACACAACTCTTGCACACACAACATTGTCACACACAACTCTTCACACCCAACATTGTCACACACAACTCTTTCACACACGACATTGTCACACACAACTCTTACACACACACACAACATTGTCACACAACTTTGTCACACACACAACATTGTCACACCCAACATTGTCACACACACACACAACATTGTCACACACAACATTGTCACGCACAACTCTTACACACAACTCTTTCACACACAACATTGTCACACACAACTCTTACACACACACAACATTGTCACGCGCAACTCTTACACACAACTCTTTCACACACAACATTGTCACACACAACTCTTACACACACAACATTGTCACACACACAACATTGTCACGCGCAACTCTTACACACAACTCTTTCACACACAACATTGTCACACACAACTTTGTCACACACACAACATGGTCACACACAACTCCCACACACACAACATTCTCACGCCACATAGTCACACACACACACAACTCTTACACACATAACATTCTCACAAACAACATTGTCACACACAACTCTTTCACACACAACTCTTACAGACACAACATTCTCACACGCAACATTGTCACACACAACTTTTTCACACACAACTCTTTCACGCAACATTGTCACACACAACTCTTTCACACACAACATTGTCACACACAACTCTTACACACACAACATTGTCACACACAACATTGTCACACACAACTCTGTCACACACAACTCTTTCACACACAACTCTTTCACACACAACTCTTTCACACACACAACATTGTCACACACAACTTTTTCACACACAACTCTTTCACACACAACTCTTTCTCTCTCCTGCCTTTCTCATCTCATTTTCACATTTGCTTCGTGCTTTTTGGAAGAAGTTGACATGTGGGGTTATCCGGTCCTTTAATTCTAGGAAGAAACCCTCAATGCCGCCAAGGCCCAAAAGACTTGTTGGTTTAGACTGGAACCCCGCTTTGAGGGATGACAGGGATGATGACAATGGGACTCAGTTCAAAGAACGGGTTGAGCCCAAGCTTGAACCCAAGCCAAAGCCCAAGGTCGAACCCAAGAAGGAATTCCCCTCTGATCCAGTGAGCCCCAGTTCCACAGAATACACATACGAATATGAGTATGAAACTTCTTCAGAATGTTCCCAAGATGATGAGAAACCCATCCATGTGAAATCGGAGGGTGATTGCAAGGTTGAACATGTTGTTTTCATGGCCATCACTGTTGACAGCGATTCCGATGTTCGCCCAGAAAGTCATGATGCATCTCCTTCTCAACATGTTCCATCCGATGCTTTGCAAGATGTTGCATTCACTTCTCATTTTTGACCCAATGAAAAGGCCACCATGGGCCGTAAGCATCGCAAGGTTTTCTTGAAGGGATTGACACCATGAATCGTCACGATGCTTTGATGAGATCCCGTTTTGGACTTAACCCTCCCGACAGTGTTGTGAACCCCCAGACCGCCATCTTCACTTGGCATGCGCTCATTTTCCAGGACCAATTCGATGTCTACGATGTGGGACTCAATGCTGAGTACCTCGAGAACGGTGAGGAGAGGCGATGGTCTGAGATGTTTGAGCACTGCGTACCAAGATGGGGAAACTGCCCTCAATCATCAGGATCTTCTGTATGAATTGGAACTTTTCTGTGAAGTATCCGGTACAAGATTCCTCCATGTCGACATTGCAGAAACCCGCCGTTGGGAAGATCATGCAACTTCCCAAGTGCCATACCTCACAGACTGTGGGATTGGATTCACCACGAACTGTGAGGACCTTTCTGCAAATCTTTTGAAGATTGGTCCACCGACCATGTGTTTGACAATGTTCTTTCATGGGACTTTAGCACTTGGTTGGCCGAATGGTCTGTTGACACTCTTAGATGATCAGATGTTCGCTGCATTCCCAGCAGCTGTGTCCGATGAGATTGAGGAAGGACTGGATGAGGATCCACTTGATAAGGTCATGGATGCCCAGGACCGTTCTGCACAGGATCGCGTTGAGGACCTGATCACTGAGGAGACGTTGGCTGACGCCTTCGACATCCCAGGTCTGCCTGCAGACGAGCAGGAACGTCGTTAAGAAGCTGCCCCAACGGGTCAGGATTGGAGTCCGACGGCTCCAACGCCAGTTCGGACACATTCCGAAACAAGTCATGATCAATTTCCTTCGGGCTGCCAAGGTTCGCAAGGAAATCATTGATGCAGTCCGTTTGCATCGCTGTGAGACATGCGAGAAGACCGCACCGAAGAAACCAACCCACAAAGTAAGCTTGCCAGGGGAATACACATTCAATCACACTTTGGGCATTGATGTGTTTGAAGTTATGGATTCAGAAGGAAACACTTATCAAGTTCTCAACATGGTTTGTGTGGGTTGTGTGGGTACCACATTTCAGTTGGCAGAAGTGGTTCGTGTTGGAAAGGGTCAGCCCAGTTCATGGATGAACACAACATTCGCGTCCCCTCAAAACCCCTGAAGGCATTGGACGCGTAGAGCGCCATGGTGCCATCTTGAAGGCGATGTACAGAAAGGTTTGCCATGAAACAGGTGCCAACACGAAAGAACAGGTTGAGTCAGTTCTGACTCAGTGTGCGCAGGTCAAGACTGACACTGCCAGACTTGGAGGCTTTTCTCCGAGCCAATGGGTTCTTGGGAGAGCTCCCAGAACACTTCCATCCTTTGCATCCGAAGAGGAACATGCATCCTTGGGCGCAACTGCAGCCCGACATGACCCTTCCAGCACCTTTGCATTGCAACACCAAGCTAGGCTTGAAGCTCAGAAAGCATACGCGCATTTGGAGTGCTCACGTAGGGTTCAGAAAGCATTGCTTCGAAACGCCGTCCCTTTCGACAGGGAATTTTCGGTAGGGGACCTTGTGACGTTTCGCAGGGACAACCAAAAGGGAGGCACCTCATGGTCTCCTGTTTCCAGGGTTATCGGACATGAAGGTTCAAAGAGCATTTGGCTTTTGTGTGGAAATTGTCCTGTTTTGGTTTCTTCCCACAATGTCCGTGTAGCCAGTCCCAATGAAGCACTTGCACAGGCCGTCCTGAATGGCGAGCCAGTCGTTCCTTTTGAGGTAGTGCGTGAGGATGGACAACGATCTTTTCTTGATGTCAGAAGACCCAGACGAGAGAGAGAGAGAGAAAGAGACAAGAAGAAGAAACAGAAAACCCCAATGAAATACCAACCACACATGCAATTTCAAGTGATTTGCCACCAGTTCCGGAAGATGACGAAGATGATTGGAATATTCGGCCGGGGATTTTTGATGGAGAAGAGGGGGAAGAAGAAGATGCAGAAGTAGATGCCATCGAAGAGATTTCACAATCTAGGCGTCGAAACGAGCAGCCACCTGTGCCTGCACGCAATGTGAGACCCTGTACAGAGGCTCCTATCCCTGGTGAACCGGAGGGCGAAAGAGGAGCTGCCTTAGCGCCCTCCAGAAGGGAATCCCAAGCTTCAGGATCTGCAGGACCGATTGCAACGGCCAAAGCTCTTGGTGCGATGGTTTGTCCGAATCTCAAGCAGAATCTTGATGATTTACCTTGTCTCTTCGAGAACATTTCAGGCGTGCTGGAAACATAGCTGTACATGACATGAAAGAAGCACGTGAGACCTTCACATGTTTTCTATCCCAAACTGTCGGGGAAGATGACATACCAGGTAAGAAAGTTTTCAAAAGTATCAATTTCGACAGTGCACCCCCGGAAGTACAGGAAGGACTTCCTGCTGCAGGAAGAAGGAATGGAAAGTTTGAATCTTTCGCTGCGGCCATTCCCGTTGTTGGTCAACAGAAGGCCGATCTTCTTGCAGAGGGACAGGTTGTGGTGCCCAGCAAGTGGGTCGGATGTTGACAAAGCTAAGCACAAGAAAGGAAGCCTGGAGAATGGGAAAGTCGCTTAGTGTCTTGCGGCAATTTTGAATTCGCAGAGGGTTTGAGAAGCGATTCGCCCACGGCGGACACCGATATCCATTTGCTCATCTGCGCATGGGCATGTTGCCATGGTGCTCTACATTCAGCTGATGTAGCGAGCGCATATTTTCAGGGGATGCCTTTGGATCAAGTTTTACTCATGAGTCAACCACGCGGTGGACTCCCAGGTGTCGATCCAGAAGCCCTTTTTGTGATCCGAGTTCCGATTTACGGACTCACCGACTCGGGTCGAGGATTATGGATGCAGCCTGACGGTGACACAAAGCAAGCGTGATATACCCTGCACTGTACTACCTGCCCGGTAGCGATGGTGATTGTGTCGCTCTGCTTGCTTCTCATGTGGATGACTTGCTCTACACCTATCTTCCAGAAGGTGAAGAGGTCGTCGCAAAATTCCTCCAGAAATTTGAGCTTGGTTCACAAGAGGTCGATAACTTCCGCTGCTGTGGAAAGCAGTTCAGCCGGGAGCCCGATGGAACCATCATGATAGATGTGACGGACAATACACGCGTGGCATCAAGTTCGCTGCAGCAAGATCACACAATGAGGTTCTTGAGTAGGATGATCTCACGCGCTTGAGGTCAACACTATAGGAAGGGTTTTGATAACGTCTCCCCAAAGCTGGCACTGGCCAATCTCCCCCAGTTTAGATTTCCCTCTGAATGGGTCCGGCTGCTTTCGCATATCTGGCTTCACCAGACTAGTAGGTGGATTTCTTTGGAAAAACATGTCCTCCCAGAACCTGCAGTGGTCACTACTTCCTTGCCCCAGGGGGATGCCATAAGCTCCATGGCACGGGCACCTTGCTAGCATGGCCCACGCGTGACGTGGCCACCATTCCTGGCATCCGACAAACAGTTTTTGGTAGACGATCGGGTCCTTAGTGCTGCATTTGTTGCCACTTTGCGGGTCGGACTGCGGCGATGGCAAACCTGGAGTCAAAGAATCGGCTTAAAAGAAAATTTGGGAAAAATGAAATTTGTTGCTCCCACCCTCTTGCAGCATCAGCAGCTGTATAACATCGGTTTCAGTTCCCAAATTGTTAACCAAGAAAGGGTGTTGGGCATAGCTTTCAAACAGAGCTCGACTCCGCCATCCATTGTTCAACAGGAACGGGCTGAGCGGGCCCTCAGAGCTGCTCACCGGCTTTGTCGTTTGCCTGTCGCCAGGGCCTGCTGGATGCGTTTGTTCAGATCCAGGATTTTATCCAGAGCACCTTGGGGTGCATGGTTTGAACCATTGAATCCTGATGTCATCAAATCTTTTCACAAATGTTTATTTGTCTGCCATTTCCTAGAAGGCGTACATGCAATGTACAACAGAGAGGGATTTGGCAGCAATGGACACCCCCGGGTTTTGCTCAGGATCCTGGTGAATGGGATTTGGGTCCTTAGGGTTTTGGGGGTGCAAGGCATCAAGGTTTATGAAGGGGATTTGGTCTTGGATCCTGCCTCTAAATTGTTGCATGAAGTTCCCCAGCATCAGCCAGCTATTTGTTCGACAGTTTGCAGTGTCGTTCGCGCGGTGCTTGTGTGACCTTGCGCCCACTTTGGCTGGTGCTGTTTTCTTTCGAAACCCCACCCTCCCGCCGCTTTGGGGGGATGGATTTCGCTGCGATTTGGGGATTGGTTGGGACCATTGTAGTCTGCATGGGCTGGACAGCTTATGTAGGTGTTACATGTGCAGGATTGCCTTCATGATCATCCCCCACCGAAGGGCTTTGGAAAAACAGGGGAGTTGCCCAGTGTTCATGTTGTGAGCCTTTGTTTAATTGAATGATTCTCTTTTTGGTTAGCAACTTGTTGAGCTTGGATCTGTGTTTCACATTACAGTTCAGCTGGGTGCCAAAGGGACTGTTCAATGTATCCTCCGCCAGTCTGACAGATCCAATCATGATGGTTTTGATGCCTTGCCTTCGTGATATTGCTGAGCAAATCCCATTTGCAGCACATGTCATCACGCACTTTGTTTCGTATGCTGTGTGGCCATGTGTACTTTACGGATATCCTTGCAATTACTTTGTCCATCGGGATGTTGAGGCAAGTTCAAGTTCCTTGGCCTTGGCGTCACATGGCGCGCACTGGCAGTTGGCAGGGTTTTGTCACCAAAAGCCTGGAACAGCTGGCTTTGGAGCCCTTTTCCCAACAGAGCGTGGCATTTTAGGCATAATGACTTAGGCATTACGGCAGGCAGACAGTTGTTTGGTGAAACTACCGGACATGGTAGGGCAGCTTTGATAGGCATTGCAGTTTATGCCGGAATCCGGAAAGCCCGAGTTTCCCAGCCATGTCCCTTTTGCCATGCCGAGGTGCCACCGGTCTGGGAGCACCTCGTTTGGCATTGCGTTGATCCAGTTTTAGCCCAGGGGCGACCAGAGCCCCCATTGGATGAGGTTTTGGGTGGCCGCCAGATTGCAGCCGCGCCCGTGCTGCTGAGGTGTTGGCACACACGTCCCGATGCGGGCATGTGTGCGGGAGGTTGTGATTTTCCTTTTTGTTTGGGCTATGGTGTCCTGTTGCGCTGCACGGGCTCTTGTGGGCTCTTGCTGGGTGACGGAGGCATCTGGTCATGGTAACCCAAACTACTGTATGCGGTCGGACTTGGGGTGTGCAGCATCGAACGACATACATACATTGGTATTCGTACTGAAGGTGGTGGTAAAGATTGACTTGCTTGCAAACTATGGGCGGACACGCGCAAACTATGGGGGGTTGCTTTGCGCCTACGTCTTGATTATTATTGGGGCTGAGGTGTGATTTGAAAGGTTAAGGTCCAAACTTGAGTGCTTGATTTTTGGAACTAATTAACTATCACATACCAAACTCTGGTTCCGGGTAGCCAATTCTAATTCTCGGGAGCCTCCCTTTTCAGGTTTTTGATCCCTGAACTTGTTTCAGAACTTGTGGGATAAATACATATGCTGTCATGTTTGGCGGGTCTTGGCGACAAGGATTTTGGACTTCCTGCGCCGAAGGGGAAAGGCAAGGCATTCTCAATGCATGTTGGATGAAAACATGATCAGAAGAGTACGTGGTCAAATCCAAACAATTTTTCCTGTTTCGGTGTGTTCCAATGTGAGGGGATTCGCCTTTCATTTTTCACCCCCAAAACGGTTTCTAGCCTCGGAATTTTCCATCTTGCTGGTCGAGCGAACCTTGGGATGCGACATCCTGAAAAGGAAAAACTCGCAATGCATGCAGGTGGGAGGGTGGGTTGATCTCTGCACATGCTCAGGCCACATATTTTTCAAGTTTATAGGTAGCGGATTCCCTGAACACCAATCAGGAAAACCCTTCGGCTTAAGGTAGCACAAGTTGGTTGAAGGTTTTTCTATTTCAAAACCTTTAGACCTAAGAGTCATTTTCATTCTTCAAGATTCTTGAATCTTGAGCCCGAGATTTCTGTCTTAGAGTCATGTGAAATCATGAATCTTGATTCCAAGAGGTGTAAGATTTCTGTCCTGAGTCCTGTGATATCTTGAACCTTCATGCAGCTTTAGTGTTTGAAGCTGCCTTTGGTTCTCTCACAGCCACCTTGTGAGCACATGATGGGGGTACCGTGCGGCTACATGGCCTTGTGGTATACGGCTATGTGTATTCTCAGTCCATGCTGGAATGGGAAGGTCAACATGTTCTAGGAAGATTAGCTCGTCTGGACACAGAGCCCTGAGTCGCCGAAATTAGTAAATTTACTTTTTTATAGGATTTACGTAAATCGAAGAATTTAGGTTGAACAAAAAGTCAAAAGTATGAAAAAAGTAAATTGATTTAGGTAGGTAAGTAAATCCATTTAGGTAGGAAAGTAAATGCATTTAGGTAGGTAAGTAAATGCATTTAGGTAGGTAAGTAAATCAATTTAGGTAGGTAAGTAAACAAAATGAAGTAGAAAAACAAAAGAAAATAAGTAGATAAGTTAAGTACGTTAGAGAAGAAATGAACTCATTTTCATCTTTGTTGGATATGATTTTTTGTTATTTTAATAGGTGAAAATCTATAATACTAGTTAGGTTATGGCTTGTAGATTCTTATTTTTGAGAATACGTGATTGTATTGACATGTCTGATTTGCCTCTTTGGCGCACAAACTACCACTGCATTTAGGTATATGATTCTTTGGTTTGGCTCAAGCAGTAGGTGTAAATATAGAAAGCAGGACGCTGTGAGAGTGTATGTTATGAGTGTTTCTTCAAATTTGTATTCACTTGAAAAAGCTCAAGCTACAACTGAATATGTGCTCATGTCCACGAGAGAACATGTATTACTTGAAGAAGTGTCCGGGTGTTCATTCTACCGTACTATAGCCTACCATGGACTTATAGCTCATTTTACCTAAAGGTTAGCTTTACTTTGCATATGGTGTTCAATGTTTATGGTGTTCAATGTTTATGGTGCTTGACTTACCATCATTGCACTGCAAGACTGCAGAAGCATCTGCGCGACACTAAATGTTTTGACATGATGCAGGCGAATGTTTTTCCTTTGCCGCCTGCTGAATTTGTTGTGATTCCTTTGCCGGCAGAGCTTCGACATCACAGATATGTACCAGCAATGAAACTTGAAGGCCGACGGTTGCCAACGCTGCAAGAGAGGATCGACAGCAATTGCCTGAATAGTTACTGTTTGTTGCTTCCTCCAACCATTTTGGAAACCCATGCATGTGGCGGAATTGAACACCCCAGAAGAGGGCAAGGGTGACGTGGTCACCCAGGGCGGCGAGTCACCCAGGGCGGCGAGTCTGAACTAACGCCCGAGAAGCAGGAAAAAAAGCAAACAAACCTTTGATTTTTCAGATGTTTCAATGTTTTTTAACACAGATTCTCCGTTTTTGATGATGTCAATGCTATTGTTGATATTTTTTCTGATCATTGATGTCAACACCGTAGGTGACCGTTTCATATAACCCCCTTTTGACGCCTAGCGTGTGTTTTAGTTTTTCAACGCCAAAAGGGTGTCTTCACCGCTACATTTGTTCATTTGTTCTGGACCTATTGTTAGGATATTCAGCGGTTCGTCCATTTTTTTTGAAACACATCGATTGATTTTTAGGACTTCTCAATCTTGAGTGAAAGCAACAAAAAACAATTCACGGATCAAACCCCAACCCCTAACACCTTCAGCCAAACCCAATCTCTTAGACAAACCCCATCCACCCAAGGCCCAAACCCCAAAACAAACCCCTGCCCCACAGCAAAAGGCGTGTCATGCGCAGGCAAGGTCAGTGGGGTTGTTTCTGTGGGGCGGAGCCCCAAAAACAATAAGAAAAAGGTGCTGACACCATAATTTCGGGCATTTCTGCCCAAGAAATGTTTGGCATTTATGCCATCTTATGGGTTGCAATCCCATAAAGTCGGATTTTAAAAATTGTTGTTTGTGCAATAAACAATGGTCAGATGGCGTTTATTCCAAAAAAATGGATTATAGATTTCATGGGTTCCAAATGTATAGGTTGCTTGCTTTGAAGGTTCATGGGAGTTGGGGCCTTATTATGGTTCAAAAGAATAGCTTCAAGGTTCAAATATTTGTAGTTTCATGTTAATACATTTTTGGGGTTTCAGGTTGTAGATTCTTGTGTTCATGGTTCAATATTTCATGGCTTTAATTTCATAGATTTCTGGGGGTTCAATTACATAGCTTGTTTGGGTTTCAGGTGCACAGGTTGTTTGGCCTTAAGGTTTATTAGCATTTTGGTCTCGAGGCACTTTAGACTTCTAGTTTTATTCGTTGAGAAAGGTCTCAACCCAGAATGAGAAGGTTTCCCAAAAAGGTTTGGAACTACCAGGATGGCTGTGAAGGAGAAAAGCAGCTGTAGTATACTAGTGGCATAGGGATGGTATAGGGATGATGGTATAGGGGTGGTAAAGGGGGCGGTATTATTACTTGAGCGAATGTAAGACCTTTGCAGGTTACCTTAATAACTTGAGGCTTGAGGGTATGCCAGAGCAACTGTGTTACTTGTCTTATTTTTGTTCCAGTAGGCAAATGCAAGACGAAGATGTTTTACTTAAATATGTGCAATGTTGTTGGTTGATTTTTTTGGGACATTTTCATACATTTTCTAGATTTTTGCGATGGCTTGTTGGTGAATTTATTATGCACTTTTTATGCATTTTTAAAAAGTGCATAAAAAGTGCATACACTTTTTGAACAATTGCATAAAAAGTGCACAAAAAGTGCATATAGAGTTCATAAGAAATTTAGTAAAATATGTGAAAAATCTTCTGAAAACAATCAAACATATTACCAATTTTACCTCAAGTAACACCAGAATGTTCAAGTAATACTAACATGAAAGAATGCTCAAGTAATACTGGCATGCTCAAGCAAAGACATACAACTTGAAGAAAAACAATCCAAATGTCTATTTCCAACCCATTGTTCACCACAGCATCTAGTGAAGCCATCCTCCAAGCTAAATTGGATGCCAAAGATTTTTCCCAAGTTGGAATATACTACACATGGCGACGAACTAGATAAGACAATTTCAGGCACACATGAATTACTCAAGTTACAGAAGTTACTTCAGCTTGGAAATGAAGACTTTACCCCATGGAAGAGATCTACATTTTTCAAATTAAACTTTAGCATTCTCAAATTCAACACTTGGACACAGAAACATCTCACAGCTACATGCAAAAACATCATAACACAAACTCAAATAAAAACAACAAAAACCTCAAGGAATAGAAGCTCAAGCATTGCATGCACAAGTAAACACAGAGCTGACATCCCCAAGCACACAGAATTCAAGTAACATATGCACAGGTCCAGGAAAGAACCAAAAACCTTGAGGAATAGAAGCTCAAATATAACATGCGCAAGTAAGGACAAAACTGGCACCCCCAAGGCCCCCAAGTACGAAAGACTCAACACAGGTCCAACAAAAACCATCAACAGATCTGAAGATAATGCTCAATATTATATTTAGTGAGCAGGATGCTGCGAGAGTGCATGTTTCTATTGTTTCTTCAAAATTCTAATCACTTGAAAAATCTTAAGCTACAAATGATGATGTGCTCATGTCCACTAGAAAATATGTATTACTTGAAGAAGTGTCCGGGTGTCCGTTCTACCTTAGAAAAATGCTACAGTGTCCCTTTAACAAAACACACTTTCTGCAGAATTTGCTAGATGCCTTCACCATAATCAATACCCATACTGGCCAACAAATGCAGTATTCAAAACAGAAATGCAACATACCCTTCTTAATAAGAGTAACCTTCCTGTGGGGCAATGCAGTGTGCTTTTGCAGGTACAATATCCATACAAAATATGAACTGTTCCTTTAAAAGATACACCATGCCCTTTGAAGGATGTTTAACCTTCCTTCCAAAGTAGCAGTATATATATTCCTTTTTAGAAAAAACATTTTTGTTTGCACACTATGCAGTATTGTTGACATAGAGCATCCGTCTCAAAGGTGCAATATTTTTTAACATGTGAGCATTGTTAAAGACTGTTCTTCCGCTTCTTACAACAAAACACTGTCTGGTATAGCAACGCAATGTTCCTGTGAAGAAACAGGCTGGACAACTTATGTTTGACATATGTACTGTTCCCTTGATCAGCCCAATTTCCATCTACTCTGGTTTCAAGAAGAAACTCTCACTTAAAGAAATGTTTTCAATACTAGCCAACAATAATATTTTTTTGATCACATATCTCACTCATATCAAGGGGAGGTTGCACAAAACGAAATAACATATGCTTCAAGGACGACTATACCCTTTCAAAAGAGTGCTGCATGCAAACAATATAGCATATGTTCAAATAATGCTTCATTGCTTTCGGGCTGCAAGATGCACATTCTTCAAATTATAGTACTTTTCAGAGGAGAGCTGCCTACATCAAAGGGTGTTATTCCCAAAGTATGTTCTGTTGTCTTGGATGAATATCACTTTATGTATTTAGAGAAATGATGTACAATTTTGAAGGACATATTGTACATGCTTACATCTACAATGTGGTTTTCATTTAAGAAAATGTGAAAAGGGCATTGCACGCGCAAGAGGGTGCAATTTCGACATAGACGTGCACATGTCCTACTTCAATGGCATCCGCTACCATTTGAAAAGACATGTAAATGTTGAAGGGAACACTAATTTCAAATAGATGCGTCATTCCTTTCGAGGGAATCATCCAAAGTTTTTGAACATGTGTTGACTGAAGTGTTTGATTCAACAATGTCAATATCAAAATCAGTTGTGCAAATTCATTGGCTGCCTGTGTTTTTTCAAAGTCTTGTGGCATAGACTGAAAAGTCAATCAAAAAACCAAATTGCCTAATCCATGTCCCAAGCCTCTAAGTTTCCCCCAATGATACCTGTATTTTACCATGGTTTTGACATGGTTTTCTCATGGAACCACAGACCCAAAGCAAACAATAAAACAATGAAAATCAAGTTTGCAACCCCTAAAGTGGGAGAAGTGGCAAAAAGTTAGATCCTCCACGTGTGTGTTGTTTTGCAAACCCTTCAAAAAACAAACGCCAAATATATATTACCTGCACAAGTAAACACACAACTGACATCCCCAAGTACAAAAAACTCAAGTAACAGATGCAGTGCCAAACACGCAAACCAAATCCCCAAGTACAAAAAAACTCGAGAAACAGACACAGGTCAAACACAAAACTGACATCCTCAAGTACAAAAAACTCAAGTAACAGACACAAGTCAAACAGAGAATTGACACCCACAAGTACCAAAAGTTCAAGTAACAAATGCAGGCCCAAAAAAAATAACCATCTATAAATCATGTAATTTTGCATATCGAAATGATAATTTAATAATGAAAACAAAACAAATCATTCAAACAATTTTAACAGAAAACATTCAAACAAAAACCAAAAATATTGAAAAATAACAAAAACTATCAACTTAGATATATTCAAAAAAAGGTCGAAAAAATACTTATGTAAATTGATGAACATTTATAAGTAAATCGATTTACTGATATAAGCAATATTTTTACATAAGAAAAAAGAGAAATTTTAGAAGTAAAATTTTCTTTGAGAAGTAAAAAAATTCGTGATTTTTTCGACCTAAATCCAAAAATTTACGTAAATCCTTGTGTGAGTAAATTTACTAATTTCGACGGCTCAGGAAGGTGGTGCTTTTGGACGGACCGCTTGTGTGAGAAGAGACTTGCTGTGAACACAACGTTTCTGCTTCAATTCGAGACGCTGTGAGATGCTTTGGAGCAGGTGCCGCGCAATTCTCTTTGTCAGCAGGCATCTCATAGAAAGAACCTGTATAGAGCCATGCTCCAAGAAAGGTGCTCCATCACCATGTAGTGCCAGTGGTAACGGAAGCTGTGAAGGGTACCAAAAACCCAAGGACTTCCGCAATTCAGGGCATTTCTTCATTTGTGGAGAATGTTGCTGGCTCTTCCAGAGAGCTACCAAGCCAGAATTTTTGCACAAGATATATATGCTTTCCAAAATTTCTGCTTCATGCAGGCAAAGAATCCATCGGTGTGGAAGCGGCGCCCACACATCTCCAGACTTCACCACTCTTTGCCCCTCCTCCTTCGGAGCTACAGGGGCAGAGGGCTTGCCAAACATATTCCTCACCTATATGCACACTGCCAGAAGTTTGCCCATAGCTGCACAGCTTCCAAGGAATGCACATCCTGACAATCGCAGCCACTCTTCACAGCACAGTGGGCCAGCTCTTGGACCCCACAAGCATTCAGGTTGCCTATGGCAATTTTTTTCAACAAATGGTTTGGGTCAGCTGACATACTTGCTCACTTGAAAGGTCAAAAGCTGCAAAGGGTTTACTCAAGCCACCTCACCCAGATGATAGCACGCTTGATGGTCCATGGAGCTGTCCGGCAGCAAGGACTGACAGAAAGGGTTCTCCAGCCTAGGACAATACAAAGAATAAGCCTTTGCGCTGCCCAGACCAAAAAAAATAGAAGCCTCTAAAGGGGATTTGAGTTGCCCACAAAACTAGACGACGGATGGCCCGAGAGCGAAGAGAAGTATATTGAGATATGTAACTGTGGAGGTCGTAGAGCACTACACAGAAAGGAAGAAATACATGATAAAGTCTCACAAAATAGGGAATTATGTTGGAATCGTGTTAGTATGTATCTTTGATTGCAAGAAAGGGAGAGAGAGAGACAGAGAGAGAGAGAGAAAGAGAGAGAGAGAAAGAGAAGACACGCAAACGCTGTTACACACAAACACCTTTGCACACACACACTTTTACACACAGACCCTCTTGCACACAGACGCCTTTACACACAAACATCTTTTCACAGAAATGCTTTTACACACAGACTCTTTTACACACAGACACCTTTACACACACACAAACACCTTTACACAGAAACACTTTTACACACAAACCCTTTTACACACAGACGCTTTTACACACAGACACCTTTACACACACAAACACCTTTACACAGAAACACTTTTACACACAGACCCTTTTACACACAGACGCTTTTACACACAGACCCTCTTACACAGAAATGCTTTTACACACAGACCCTCTTACACACACACACGCACACGCACACACACCCTCTTACACACAAACACTTTTACACACGGACCCGTTTACACACAGACATCTTTACACAGAGACGCTTTTACACACACACAGACCCTTTTACACACAGACCCTTTCACACACAGATACCTTTACACACAGACCCTCTTACACACAGACGCTTTTAACCACAGACCCTTTTACACACAGACTCTTTTACACAGAGACGCTTTTACACACAAACACTGTTACACGCAAACCCTTTTACACACAGAAGCTTTTACACACAAACACTTTTACACACAGACCCTTTTACACACAAACCCTTTTACACACAGGCCCTTTTACACACAAACATCTTTACACAGAGACGCTTTTACACACAGACCCTTTTACACACAGACCCTTTTACACACAAACACTGTTACACGAAAACGCTGTTACACACAAACACCTTTACAGACAGACACCTTTACACACAAACGCTTTTACACACAGAAGCTTTTACACACAGACACTTTTACACACAAACTCTTTTACGCGCAGAAGCTTTTACACACAAACACTTTTACACACAGACCCTTTTACACACAGACGCTGTTACACACAGACCCTCTTACAGAAATGCTTTTACACACAGACCCTTTTACACACAGACCCTTTTACACACAGACACTTTTACACACAGACCCTTTTACACACAGACGCTTTTACACACAGACACTTTTAGACACAAACCCTTTTACACACAGAAGCTTTTACACACAAACACTTTTACACACAGACCCTTTTACACAGGAACACTTTTACACACAGACCCTCTTACACACAGACGCTTTTACACACCCAGACGCTGTTACACACAAACACCTTTTACACACAGATCCTTTTACACACAGACCCTTTGACACACAAACCCCTTTACACACAAACATGTTTACACAGGCATGCTTTTGCACACACAGGCGCTTTTACACACAGACAGACACTTTTATCACACAAACCCTTTTACACACAGAAGCTTTTACACACAGACGCTTTTACACAGAAACCCTTTGACACACAGAAGTGTTTACACACAGACCCATTTACACTCAAATACTTTTACACACAAACACCTTTACACACAGACGCCTTTACACACAGACCCTTTTACACAGAGACCCTTTTACACACAAACATCTTTACACAGAAACGCTTTTACACACAGACCCTTTTACACACAGACGCTGTTACACACAGACACTTTTACACACAGACGCTTTTACACACAGACACTTTTAGACACAAACCCATTTACACACAGAAGCTTTTACACACAGAAGCTTTTACACACAGAAGCTTTTACACACAGAAGCTTTTACACAAACACTTTTACACACAGACCCTTTTACACAAAAGCACTTTTACACACAGCTCCTCTTACACACAGACGCTTTTACACACAAACATTTTTACACACAGACCCTCTTACACACAGACGCTTTGACACACACAGGCGCTTTTACACACACAGACGCTGTTACACACAAACAACTTTCACACACAGACCCTTTTACACACAGACCCTTTTACACACAAACACCTTTACAGACAGACACTTTTACACACAAACCCTTTTACACACAAACACTTTTACACACAAACACTTTTACACACAGACCCATTTACACACAAACACTTTTACACACAGACCCTCTTACACACAGACGCTTTTACACACAAACACTTTTACACACAGACCCTCTTACACACAGACGCTTTGACACACACAGACGCTGTTACACACAAACAACTTTCACACACAGACCCATTTACACACAGGCACTTTTATACACAAACACTTTTACACACAGACCCTTTTACACACAGACGCTTTTACACACAGAAGCTTTTACACACAAACACTTTTACACACAAACCCATTTACACACAGAAGCTTTTACACACAAACACTTTTACACAGAAACCCTTTGACACACAGAAGCTTTTACACACAGACCCATTTACACACAGGCACTCTTATATACACACAAACACTTTTACACACAGACCCTTTTACACACAGACGCTTTTACACACAGACCCTTTTACACAGAGACCCCTTTTACACACAAACATTTTTACACACAGACCCTCTTACACACAGACGCTTTGACACACACAGGCGCTTTTACACACACAGACGCTGTTACACACAAACAACTTTCACACACAGACCCTTTTACACACAGACCCTTTTACACACAAACACCTTTACAGACCGACGCTTTTACACACAGACCCTCTTACACACAAACACTTTTACACACAAACACTTTTACACACAGACCCTTTTACACACAGACTCTTTTACACGCAGACCCTTTCACACACAGACACTTTTACACACAGACGCTTTTACACACAGACACTTTTACACACAGACCCTTGTACACAGACCCTTTTACACAGAGACCCTTTTACACACAAACATCTTCACACAGAAATGCTTTTACACACAGACCCTTTTAACACACAGACACTTTTACACACAGACGCTTTTACACACAAACACTTTTACACACACGCCGTTTTACACACAAACACCTTTACACACAGACGCCTTTACACACAAATGCTTTTACACACAGACCCTTTTACACACAGACGCTTTGACACACAAACGCCTTTACACACAAACACTTTTACACACAGACCCTTTTACACACAAACATCTTTACACGGAGACACTTTTACACACAGATCCTCTTACACACAGACCCTTTTACACACACGCGCTTTTACACACAGACACTCTTACACTCAAACCCTTCTACATCCAGCACCAGTAAAATCGCAATTTTACTCAGTTTTTGCGCATCGAACCTCATTTCGCGCGAAAGGGTTGCTCCGGCACAAGTAAAATTGCAATTTTTCCTCAGTTTGTGACGATCCTCATTTCGTGCGAAAGGGTTGCAAAATCGCAATTTTTCGTTAGTTTTTGACGATCGACCTTCCTTTCGTGCGAAAGGGTTGCTCTGGCACAAGTAAAATTGCAATTTTTCCGCAGTTTTTGACGATCCTCATTTCGTGCGAAAGGGTTGCTCCGGCACAAGTAAAATCAGTATTTGACGATCGGACCTTCATTTCGTGCGAAAGGGTTGCTCCGGGACAAGTGAAATTGCAATTTTTCCTCAGTTTTTGACGATCGGACCTTCATTTCGTGCGAAAGGGTTGCTCCGGCACAAATAAAATTGCAATTTTTCCTCAGTATTTGACGATCGACCTTCATTTCGTGCGAAAGGGTTGACGTTTCATGACTCCTCGTCGGCACCGCCCGCGGCCTAAAGAGAGAAAGAAAAAGAAGGAGAGAGAGAGAGAAAAGGGAGAGAGAGAGGAGAGAGAGAGAGAGAGAAGATGTGAGTATGTGGATGTGAAGGTGTGAAGATGTGAGTGTGAGAGAGAGAAAGAGAAGATGTGAGTGTGTGAAGATGTGAAGATGTGAGTGTGAAGATGTGAGATGTGAAGACAGCAGTATATGAAGATGTGAAGGTGTGAAGATGTATGACAGACGCAAATGACAGACCCAACTATTAGAAGAACCCTTCGCTCAGACGCTCTCGGGAAAAAGGCAACGGGGCTATCCAGCCCATAAAAACCAATGTGGCCGTCCAGCCAACGAAAATGCAGAGAAAGGATTCTCCAGCCCACACAGGTGCAAAGCAACAGCAGCTGGGCTATCCAGCCCACATGATGTAAAGCCTTTGCTGCGGCTATGCTTCAGCTTTTGCCTGCTGTGCAGTCGGTTTTCTCAGATCCTATACGCTTTCAGGCTTCAATCCTTCACGGCCTTGACTGTCATCTGCTTCTTGGATTTCAAACCCTTCAAGCCAGCAGGACGGCCAGCTTTCTGGGAAGCTTGCACCTTCTTCACCAAATCCTTGCGCTTGTGCATCTGACCAAGTGCTGTACGGAGCTGCTTCCACTGAAGCCAACTGCTTGGCCAGTTCTGTTCCTTCAGCTGCTTCTGGCCATCTCCTGCACTGATCTGGGACATTTGGTCTTCCACTTGTCTTGTCTGTGGGCTTCGTTGGACCTGTGCAAGTAGAATCGGGGGTCTTCTGGATTCTTCCTCCATTTCAAAGTTCCTGCAGCCAGTCTGGACTTCATCTCCTCCAGTCCCAACTCCTCTTCCCATTTCTTTTTGCTTATCCAGTGCTTCTCCACCCCATCGCTTTTGTGGAGGCCAATCTTCAGCATTGCACCTCTGTAATTTTTGTTGCATTTGGCCCCATCCATGGTCCAACTGTGAGCAGCAAGGAGTTTTTTGCAACACTGCCAGCTCCACTCGCCTCTTCTTTCTATTTCTTGTCCAGGTCACTGGCTTTCCTGGAAGCTTCGAACATTTTCCACAGCAGCTGCGTCTACTTTTCGGGGAGCTTTCCGGAAGCTTCAGGAAATTCCTTCTCAGGCACACCATCCTTCTTGGCCATCTCCTCCAGGAATTTCTCATGCTTGGCCAGAGCTTCCTTGGAAAGCACCAGCTTGTTCTCTTCTGCTTATGACCCTGTCCCTTGGGTAGCTGGCCCCTTGATCGCAGGCATGACTGTCTAGAGTCCGTACCTGCGTTGACTTCACTTTTTGCTTCGCGCAGATCAAAAACCTGCAGCCCACACCCACACATTGAATATTTTCCAAAAGAGTAAATTTGCAGAATTGGACAAATGCTTTGCTGGCTCAGCTAGCCCACTTCACATGTAGATTTTATTTTACCAATAATGAAAATAGTTTTTGTTTTTGCTTGCTTTTTTTACAAGATTTGGAACATTGCTTCGTTGCGAAACCTAACAACCATTTCCCACATATACCACACCCAGCCACCAATATGTTTCAAAGATGAAACACTAGACAACGGATGGCCCGAGAGCGAAGAGAAGTACATTGAGATATGTAACTGTGGAGGTCGTAGAGCACTACACAGAAAGGAAGAAATACATGATAAAGTCTCAAAGAATACGGAATTATGTTGGAATCGTGTTAGTATGTATCTTTGATTGCAAGATAAGAATAGAGAGAGAGAGAGAGTGTGAGAGAGAGAGAGAGAGAAAGAGAGACAGAAAGAGAAGACACGCAAACGCTGTTACACACAAACACCTTTGCACACAAACACTTTTACACACAGACCCTTTTACACACAGAAGCTTGTACACACGGACCCATTTACACACAGACACTTTTACACACAAACACTTTAACACACAGACCCTCTTACACACAGACGCCTTTACACACCGACGCTTTTACACACAGACGCTTTTACACACAGACGCTTTTACACACAGACACCTTTACACACACAAACACCTTTACACAGAAACACTTTTACACACAGACCCTTTTACACACAGACCCTTTTACACACAGACCCTCTTACACAGAAATGCTTTTACACACAGACCCTTTAACACACAGACCCTTTGACACACAAACATCTTTACACAGAGACACTTTTACACACAGACGCTTTTACACACAGACCCATTTACACACAGACACTTTTGCACACAAACACTTTTACACACAGACGCTTTTACACACAAACACTTTTACACACAGGCCCTTTTACACACAAACACCTTTACACACAGACGCCTCTACACACAAATGCTTTTACACACAGACCCTTTTACACACAGACGCTTTTACACACAAACGCCTTTACACACAAACACTTTTACACACAGACCCTTTTACACACAAACATCTTTACACGGAGACACTTTTACACACAGACCCTTTTACACACAGACACTTTTACACACAGACGCTTTTTTTTACACACAAACACTTTTACACACAGACCCTTTTACACACAAACATCTTTACACAGAGACGCTTTTACACACAGACCCTCGTACACACAGACCCTTTTACACACAAACACTTACACACAGACCCTTTTACACACAAACATCTTTACACAGAGACGCTTTTACACACAGACCCTTTTACACACAGACCCTTTTACGCACAAACATTTTTACACAGAGACACTTTTACACGCAAACGCTGTTACACACAAACACCTTTACAGACAGACACTTTTACACACAAACCACTTTTACACACAAACATCTTTACACAGACACACTTTTACAAAGTCGCAATTTTATCGCAGTGTTTGCGCATCGAACCTCATTTCGTGCGAAAGTGTTGCTCCGGGCCAAGTAGAACCGCACTTTTACCGCAGTTTTTGCGCATCGACCCTCATTTCGTGCGAAACGGTTGCTCCGGCACAAGTGAAATCGCAATTTTTCCGCAGTTTTTGCGCATCGATCCTCATTTCGTGCGAAAAGGCTGACGTTTCGTGACTCCTCGTCCTCACTGCCCGCGGCCTTAAAGAGAGAAAGAAAAGAAGGAAAGCGAGAGAAAAAGGAGAGAGAGAGAGAGAGGAGAGAGAGAAAGAGAGAGAGAAAGAGAGAGAGAAAGAGAAGGATGTGAGTGTGAAGATGTGAGTATGTGAAGATGTGAGTGTGAAGATGTGAGTATGCTCCGATGTGAAGATGTGAAGATGTGAGTGTCAGTATGTGAGTATGTGAATGAAGATGTGAAGATGTGAAGATGTGAAGATGTGATCGAGTGTGAAGATGTGAGTATGTGAAGATGTGAAGATGTGAGTGTGAAGATGTGAGTATATGAAGATGTAAGTGTGAAGATGTGAGTATGTGAAGATATGAAGATGTGAGCATGCCAAGATCTAAGATGTGAAAATGTATGTGAAGATGTGAAGACATGAAGATGTGAAGATGTATGACAGACGCAAATGACAGACCCAACTATTAGAAGAACCCTTCGCTCAGACGCTCTCGGGAAAATTACATAGAATATGCTCACCCTGCGCTCGGACAGTTCCAGATGCTGCAAGACGATAAAATAATACCTACAAAAAATATGTAACTGTGGAGGTCATAGAGCACTACACAGAAAGGAAGAAATACATGATAAAGTCTCAAAGAATACGGAATTATGTTGGAATCGTGTTAGTATGTATCTTTGATTGCAAGATAGGGAGAGAGAGAGAGATAGAGAAAGAGAGAGAGAGAGAAAAAGAGAAGACACGCAAACGCTGTTACGCAAAAACACCTTTACACACAGACACTTTTACACACAGACCCTTTTACACACAGAAGCTCTCACACAGACCCATTTATACACAGACACTTTTACACACAGACGCTTTTACACACAAACATCTTTACGCAAAGACGCTTTTACACCCTCTTACACACGAACGCCTTTACCCACAGACGCTTTTACACACAGACCCTTTTACACACAGAAACTTTTACACACAGACCCTTTTACGCACAAACACTTTTACACACAGAAGCTTTTACACACACGCATCTTTACACAGAGACGCTTTTACACACAAACCCTTTTACACACAGACCCTTTGACACACAAACATTTTTTCACAGAGACACTTTTACACAGCGCTTTTACACGCAGACCCTTTTACACACAGACCCTTTTACGCACAAACACTTTTACACACAGAAGCTTTTACACACACACATCTTTACACAGAGACGCTTTTACACACAGACCCTTTTACACACAGACCCTTTTACGCACAAACATTTTTACACAGAGACACTGTTACACACAGACGCTTTTACACGCAGACCCTTTTACACACAGACCCTTTTACAGTTTACACACAGACCCTTTTACACACAGACGCCTTTACACACTTTTACACACAGACCCTCTTACACAGAAATGCTTTTACACACAGACCCTTTAACACACAGACCCTTTGACACACAAACATCTTTACACAGAGACACTTTTACACACAGACGCTTTTACACACAGACCCATTTACACACAGACACTTTTGCACACAAACACTTTTACACACAGACGCTTTTACACAGAGACCCTTTTACACACAGACCCTTTTGCACACAAACGCTTTTACACACAGAAGCTTTTACACACAGACACTTTTACACACAAACCCTTTTACACACAGACGCCTTTACACACAAATGCTTTTACACACAGACCCTTTTACACACAGACACTTTTACACACAAACGCCTTTACACACAAACACTTTTACACACAGACCCTTTTACACACAAACATCTTTACACGGAGACACTTTTACACACAGATCCTCTTACACACAGACCCTTTTACATCCAGCACAAGTAAAATCGCAATTTTACCGCAGTTTTTGCGCATAGAACCTCATTTCGTGCGAAAGGGTTGCTCCGGCACAAGTAAAACCGCAATTTTACCGTAGTTTTAGCGCATCGACCCTCATTTCGCGCGAAACGGTTGCTCCGGGACAAGTAAAACCGCAATCTTACCTTAGTTTTAGCGCATCGACCTTCATTTCGTGCGAAAAGGTTGCTCGGGGACAAGTGAAATTGCAATTTTACCTTAGTTTTAGCGCATCGGCCTTCATTTCGTGCGAAAGGGTTGCTCCGGCACAAGTAAAATTGCAATTTTTCCGCAGTATTTGACGATCGGACCTCATTTCGTGCGAAAGGGTTGCTCCGACACAAGTGAAATCGCAATTTTTCCTCAGTTTTTGCGCATCGATCCTCATTTCGTGCGAAAGGGTTGACGTTTCGTGACTCCTCGTCCTCACTGCCCGCGGCCTAAAGAGAGAAAGAAAAAGAAGGAAAGCGAGAGAAAAAGGAGAGAGAGAGCGAGAGAGAGAGAGAGGAGAGAGAGAAAGAGAGAGAGAAAGAGAAGGATGTGAGTGTGAAGATGTGAAGATGTGAAGATGTGAGTGTGAAGATGTGCGTATGTGAAGATGTGAAGATGTGAAGGTGTAAGTGTGAAATGTTTAGATGTAAGGAGAGTATGTGAAGATGTGAGTGTGAAGATGTGTGTATGTGAAGATGTGAGATGTGAAGATGTAAGATGTGAAGATGTACGTGAAGATGTGAAGACATGAAGATGTGAAGATGTATGACAGACGCAAATGACAGACCCAACTATTAGAAGAACCCTTCGCTCAGACGCGCTCGGGAACAAAAATGTAGATGTTCATTGTTTTGCATGTGAATTCATGGTTCTTCATGATTTTTCATGTTTATTCATGGCTTTCATGTGAAAATATGTTCTTTTCATAGGTGTTTTTCTGTTGTTTATATTTAGTTTTTTCCTGAATAAAAATATGTTGGGTTACCAGCTCAGGTCACCTTAAAAAATGAGGCCTCTTCAGATCATTTTTTTGAAGAAGTATGGACCAGGTACAGTACTTGTTGTTTGGTTTCCGGTATATTTCATAACCCAAATATGGTGACAAGCTGATTTGAGGTGTGGTTGGCTTGTTTGTCTGTGAGGATCTGGAGCTATTTACAGAATTCTAGGAGCTATTTATAAAATGCTAGGAGCTATGTTGAAAATTCTTGGAACCTTCATAAAATTCTTGAAGCTATTAGTAAAATTTTTTGGAGCTATTTATAACAATTCTTTAGAATTCTTGGGGTTATTTATAAAATTATTAGATATGATTAGTAAGTATTAGAGTTCTTGATGCAATTCTTGGAATTATATGAATCTCAGAGGAATAATTTGTAGAATATACCACCCCAAATTCTAAAATGTTCATCAAACTTTCCATGGGAAGGGGTCCCGACAAGCACATATTCAATCCCAGTATAAAGGTGTCGAAACTTCAGCGGGGGGGAAAATACAAAATCCCGTAATCACATTACATACTGGTGGATTTGCTTTATTACACAAACCAGAGAACAAACACAATGTTGATTCTGCAGTCCCCCATCACCATGAATCCCTGACATTGATTGTCCATTTTGATTGGACACACCCTTGGCAATGCTTGACTTGATATTTTGATTGACATTATGTGCGCTCTTGCTGTATGGTTTTTTTGAAAAAGGAATCTATACAAACAATACATATCAAAACACAACTACACCGGTTTTACATAACAAATGTAAATCCTCTACCATAAGGCAAGAAGTGGACATACAACCAAGATGTTCAGATGTTATGTTTGTTTGTAAACGAGACTTCATGGGATTTCACCAAATATGTTACAAAATCGCTATGATCAAAAATGGAAGTAACTTGAAACATAGATAAAAGAGGTGAGAAATTTGTAATAGCTCTGAGCGGCTTCGAGCAGTTTAGAGCTATTTCTAAAACACTGCTTAGTAATAGCTCTGAGCGGCCCCGAGCGGTTTAGATCTATTTATGCTCAAAACCATCAATTTTAGACTATAGCTCCGGAGCGGTTCCGAGCGGTTCAGAGCGGTTTCTAAATTTGGAAACGTCAAAGATAGATCTGAACGGCTCCGAGCGGTTTAGAGCTATTTCTAAAACACTGCCGAGTAATAGCTCTGAGCGGCTCCGGGCGGTTCAGAGCTATTTCTGAAATGGCCAACTGAAAAATTCATTTTTGAAAATATTTTTTACTTCATACCAATAAAAAAGACAAGCATGTATGTTATGATAAGCTTAAGTTATTGAAAGAAAAGTTGCTAATTGATTGCATTGCAAACACGAACACGGATACGGGTCAATCCATCACCCTACAAACTGCCATGAAATGAAAGCCCGGCTGGAGCACCAAAAAGCACAACAAACCAAGGGACAAGGGTTTTGTAGAAGGCGGCTTTTCATTTTAAGACATGTAAGATGTGCTGCCAGGGATGCTTCTAAGGAGCTAAGGCTATGGCTATGCATATTGCCTTTTGCAATGTCACTTTTTCATACTTTTTCTCCACAGCTCCATGGTGCATGTGCATGGGCTGAAAACCCTTCTTACAACCCAGTCACCCGCAATGCCCCATAGGACAAGTTCAAGGCCTGCGGCTCCCTCTTGTTCAGGTCAAGGCCCTCCAAAGGCCCAGGGTTCACTCTAGTTAAAAGCGGGGGGCGGGCTACGCAAATTCAAGGGAAATTTTAGAAATAGCTACGGGAATTTTAGAAATAGCTCGGGGAATTTTAGAAATAGCTCGGGGAATTGTAGAAGCAGCGCCAAGCCGCTCTAATAGCTTTGCGGCTGCTTTTCTGCAGAAACTCCGCCGGCGCTGCCCCGATGACTGTAGCTAGGGGCCGTCGGGACGAGAGGTGCCACATGTTGGTTCTGAGGGGCTGCTGACCCTGTGAAGCTCTGCTGTGAGAGACCTCTCCACGGCCTCTCCACGGCCCTGGGGCTTTAACGCTGGCACAACAATTTCCTTCGCATGCTCTAGCTTGGCCCACTGACAATCAACCAGGACAAAGTAGGCTCTGTTGCACAGCACTTTATGACAAGGATGACGCATTTGGAGGTGCGCCATGGCAATGGTGGCAACGGTGGCAATGGTGGCAATGATGATGATGATGATGATAATGATGATGACGACGACGACGACGACGATGACGATGACGAGGATGAGGATGAGGATGACGATGATGAGGACGACGATGACGATGACGACGGCGACGACGACGATGATGATGATTATGATGACGATGATGATGATGATGATGATGACGATGACGATGATGATGATGATGATGATGACGATGACGATGATGGCAATGATGATGAGGATGATAAGGGTGATGAGAATGATGATGATGATGACGATGCTGATGGTGGTTGCGATGATGATTCAATGATGATGGTGATGATGGTGATGATGAGGATGATGAGGATGATGATGCTGATGATGCTGATGGTGGTTGTGATGATGGTGATGATGATGATGATGATGATGATGATGATGACGATGACGCATCTTCATGATCATGACGATAATGTTGCTGTTGATGATGCTGATGGTGATGATGATCATGAGGGTTCCTATGGTGATGGTGGGTAAAATCATGATGATGGTGATGGTGAATGTGATGGTGGTGATGGTAGCAACTGTGATATTGAGGGCTTAGCATGGTGAATAGCAGGCTCAAACATGATTATTTCAAGGGCTTTGGACTTTGCTTGGAAAGAGGCCATATTTTGCGATGTTTATATTGCTGCTTTGGGAATATAGGAAAAGCTTCCGAAATATGTCGAAAGGAATTCCGAGATTGTGTGAAGTAGCTCTTAAATTTGAGGGAAAAACAAAACTTGTAGACATAGACAGAGTGAAATATAGTTGTGAAAATTCAGGAACCCATGAGGCGAATACCAATATTTAAGAATCTAAGTTTTTCAAAGATGCTGAAAGTTTTAGAAATAGTTGTAAGCATTTTGAGAAAAGTTGGTAGAATTTTGGCAATAGTTGTAGTCATAGTTGCGAAAAAAATGACACAATTTTCGAATTTCACAAAGGTGCTGATTTTTTGAAATTGCTGTTTTTTTTAACCCTAGTTCTTCAGGACTTGGAAATACCATGTCAAATTTGAAACATACTTGTTGAATTGTAGAAAAGGTTGAAATTCTTTGAACTATTTTGGAAATACCTTTGAACATTTTAGAAATAGCTTTGAAGCTTCTGAAAGAGGATTGACAATTTTAGAAATAGCTCTGATTTTTTTAGAAATCGCTCTGGAAAATCTAGAAACCGCTCCGAGGATCTCACAGGGGCCCTAAATAAAGAAGCCGGCGCCAGCTGGAACATGCTGAGGATAGATTCCGAGGGATAGGGCCAGGAGACACGGTCAGCGAAGATGAGGACCTCTATCTCACCAAAACAGGAGCATAGCTCAGCCGCTCTAAGGAGGGTGGCACTTTGCAATGGGCAACGCTTAGTTTAGCATGTAAGTAAGTAGAGACGGCAAATCATGGGCACATGTCATGCATGTTGCAGTCCATTTTGTAGACTACGGTCCATCGCCCAAGCAAAAAGATGCGCATCGCTGCATTGCACCTAGTTGGAACTATGCTTCGAACCCAATACCGCTGACCGCTGCGACTTTGCTGTTTGTATGTTCAGATGTTGCAGAAATACTGCAGCACCATCCCCGCTGTCCCAGGCGCAAGCTTACGGTAGCTCCATTTCAAAAACATCAGCGGCGATGAAAAATGTTGAAGCGAGCAGAACCCTAAACGTGCGTTGGGATGCTTTGTACTTTTTTTGTGTGCGGAGGTGTGTGCAACATGGATGTTTATGCATCTATCTATTTATATTGGCTCAAACTTTTCGAAAGTTGTGACTGTGCACCCTGAGACCTCGAGCGGCTTGGCAGTTTTCAACAGCTATCGGCAATCATGTCGTCCATGGCCGCCGTTCCGCAGACTGATGAGGAGGAAATGGAAACTTCACAGATTTGGGGGTCAACCAATGGAAACGAAGCAAAGGTTTCTCATTGGTTTTCTCGCGCGAGGGCCTCCTGCATTGTGCCCGCTGTTGGTCTCATGGTTGTGGGTGTCTTGGCATTGGGCGCGATTCGCGCGAATGTGGCCCCTCAGACTGCTCAGGACCAGGCTGGAATTGTCCAATTGGGCGATTTCAAGATCCCAACGCTTCCAGCGAATCCGATCGATGAGTTGAAGAAAGAAATCAAACAACCAATTACAAAATTCAAGGCAGACTTGGGCATCAATGACTTGAGGGGGAATCAGATTGCACTTTGCGTCATCAATCTCAACTTGGGAATCTGGAAGGTGATTCAGGTGGGAGCACACATCACCAAAACGGTGGACAATTGTGCATATCAAACCACCAATATCGACAAGAAAGTTGCATGCAATATCAATCTTGCTGCGATCATAGTTACTTTGTCAGAAATGATGGCCTTCTTCACCAGCACCTCCACCTTATGCACAGGCAAAACAAACCCAGATGCCCGCTGCACAGTATTTATGGCACTGACCTTCAGGCATTTGGCGCTCTTTGCTGCAGCTGAGAACCAAATTGCCCTCTTTTGCCCTAAGGCCTCATACGAAACAACGGTCGTGGAAGGTGGAGTGAGAACCTATGATGCTGCAGGAACGCCGACTTCTTTCGAATTCATCCTTTGCTAACAGCTCTGCTGACAGAGAACTCTCCGCAGTGGTGGTTCCCGACCCCCCCGCCGCTCCGATTGCAAAATTGTTTTGCGCATGGAATGTTGCTGAGAGTTTCTGGTTCTTTGCTCGTATTCCCCCATTGGCCGACATCGCACGCAGACGTTGCCCGGCAGGGAGGACCGCAAGGAGCAAGGCTGCTTGTTCCGAGGTGATCAATAACATCCTTACCATGACATTCAACGGAGTCAAGTTGATCGCTGCAGCCACAACCAATTGTGTGGAAGGCACAAACGTGGCTGCTGGATGTGCTGCTGGCAGTCTGAATTTCATGTCAGGAATCACCGGGATAAGCTGGGTGGCCTCGGCCTTCGCAAACGGTGCGTGCACAGATTTGGATGTAAAGAGGAAAGCTGCCACGGAGGTACGCATCAATAGAAAGATTCACAAGATTAACCTCATCAAGAGCAACACGCTGCGGCGCTTGCTACGAGAGAAGAAACTCGTAGGCCCCGCCATCGCACAAGCTCACCAGATGATTGCTCAAGAAGAGGAGGACACACGCAACAATGCCACCACAGAAGAACTTGTCCGCCATCTTATGCAACAGATGAATCCACAAGAAACCGAGACAGGTTTTGAAGATGATCCCTATGAACTTGTATTGTCACACCTCCAGAGCTTGAAGGCACCCAGTGAGGCAGAGTGGCAGCAGATGATGGCAAAGCTGGGCACCATTCAGGACACGGCCTCCAGCCCTGTCCTTGCATAGATTGAGCTTCACCCTTTGTGACTGAGAAGCATCAAATTCAGCTTCCGCACCCTTGCATGGAGTGCCGGGTGCGAGCTGGTGCCAAGAAGTCACTGTGAAGTATGTAGAGCGATTGCAAAAAAGAATTTAAACACGCATTGAAGTATGTGATTGCTTGGTTTGCTAACTCCTTGACTTCGAACCGACCCACAGAAGGTCTTCAGCCACAGCATCGCCTGTCAGGCATGCAGGCATTCCGAGCTGCAAGTAATCTGGCAGAGAAAAGTGCTGCTTCTTCAGGTCCCAAGCGCTGCTTGGAGCTCAAAAAGAAAGCAACAGGAGCACAGTAGCATGGATAAGAAAACGTAAGAACGTCTGTTCATAGAAATGTATGCATGGATCAAGCGCAGATCACCACAGCAAGCAATACAAGGCAAACATTCTGGACACTTGAAAGTGTGTATACATATATACCTGCATCTTCCAAGGTCGTCGGACTTAATGCGAGTTTGATTGGAGTTCAAATCACGACTATACTGTTCGTGATCCTGCATGTGGCTTTGCATAGGTCGAACAAAGCTCACAGAGGAATGTTGAAGAGGCTTCTTTTGATACTCCAATCGGGATGGAGGAAGCACACCAGCGTTTCAGATGCATTTTTGCCACAATACAATTTGAATCAGCAGGTCACCTGGTTGTTGAATTCACCGACAGTTTGTGGGACTTACTGCAAATTTGTTCTACTGAAAAATTTCCGATTTGTTTGCGTCCACAATCAGCACCTGAACCTGAATTTCTGAAGATCCTTGAGCCCAAACATGGAATTCGCTCCTCCACAGGCTGGTTTAGAAAACATAGAGGGACCGGATGGTGTGGGAGACCTCACTGTGACCCTGAAGCAGCATGGTGCAGCATGGCGCAGCAGCGCGAAGCCAAAGGCTCAGCTCCAGCTGTTTGTTGTCCTTGTCGTTGGCCTTGTCCTGTCGCAGGTCAAGGAGCAAACAGAGACTGAGATGTCGGCCACACGAGCAGAACAGAAACATCTTGACATTTGATTTGGCGGCTTGGCGTCAGCAATGGTACACTGTGGGCGTGTGAGCTTCTGTGTTTTCATAGACAAACATTATGTCGATGATATCATCACGGCCCCATGTGCTCCTGTTGTTACTGCCTCCCTTCAACCCCATAACCATCCAATATTGTAACCGTCACTGGTTGCATGCAGTAATTGTGCAATATTGCACATTCAGCACATTCTGCTAGCAACAACAGCTAAGACCCTTGGCACTTCGTCATTTACCCTTGCAGCATTGGATGTACAGTATCACAATGATATCATGTAATGTACAATCAGAGACAGAAGGATGGATGAAAAGATGTGTATTTGTAGGTATACTTAGCTGCCATTGCACAGCTCACACCAAGTTTTCAGAACAGAGTCCTTTTCAGGGAAGCTGCCACACTAGATCATACGCACGAACGCGTACGCGTCACAAACCCCAAGAGCATGGCTGTCGTGATGTCGCTCGCTGGCTTGGTTCTGAGTTACCCTGAGCCAATGCATGGTTTCCTCACCGCAATCTTGCCAATTGAGATCAATGAAAATACAGCGCAGCATTTTTGTGGTTGATTCACGGGTCCCGGTCAATAGCTGGTTTTTTCTCAAGTTGTAGCTTACCTAGCGCAAGCCTAATTTGGTAAATATATATATATATGTATGTGCTGCTATATATATATAATATGATATATACATGTGTGTGTGTCTCATTCAAGAGGGGCGGTCACAGTCTTTATCTTCCGGAGGTCATAATTCATTATTGACATTTGTCGTTTCCTCTTCGTAAGAAGCGGGCCCGCAGCTAAATCATGTAAATCACCAACTAGGCGCTAGATTCGCGCTAGCTCAGCGCTATACTTATCAATCTGTTGTGTGCAATTTCTGCAGCATTCAAATTCAAAACCGTATCTTTATCAGTCTCCAACCTTTGCGGCGTGTGACAGCAAACAAGACGACAGACATTACACATTGCATGATTGCCATTTTGGAAAAAAAACAACCCTTTTTCGCGCTAGTACGGATCTAGTTCGGCACTAGCAAAACAGGCGCTGAGCAACTAGGAGTCCATGCCGAATGCAGATGAAGCTAGCAGTTTTGAAGGAGTATTCCAAGATGTATCTTGCAATTGGCTTCCAAGAGACTTTCAAGCAAAAGAAAACAATACAGTTTCAGAGCTCGTTCCGGCGCTGAAGATTCGAGTTCCAGTACCAGAGAGACCTCTGAAGAAGACAACTAAAAGTCATGCGCTAGTGCACCTGCCACAATTTTTGAATTGATAACCCAAAATGCCAGACATGTCACGAAATCTAAACTTGTTAAAATGCAATTGCATGCAATTGCCAAAAAGCGGGCCCCCATGTGATTACGAATTGCGACCGCCTTCGGGAACCAACATTTTGCACGGGAGACATATGTATATATAGATATATATGTATATATATACATATTATATATATATATTGATATATATATATATATACATATATACATATATATATATACGTGTATAAATATACATTTATATATATATATATATACGTATATAAATATACATATTATATATATATACACGTATATATTCATATATATATGTATATACATATATATATATAGATATATATATATATATTTGGGTCCATGTCCATTGTGATGATTTTTTCTACCGGTTTCTCTATCACTCCATCAATCTACTTGCTATCCATGCATCCATCTCTTTCTCTCAATATCTCTACCAATCTGTGTGTGGTAGAAACACGACTTGCGCCTGTCGATGCAGGTCTGCGGGCTACCTTTGGCTGATCATCGCAGTGGGACCTGTTGCGCTGACCATTGATCTGATCAAGGCAGATAAAACGTGGCCTTTTAAGCGTACAACACACGCGAGCCAGTGAAATGCTGCAGGAAATACATGGAGGGTTGAAGTCCTTGCTGTAAGGTTTGTGTGCTGTTATGTAGGCATCAAAATAGTGTTCATGTGATTTGGTGTTTGATGACCGACTTCGACTTTAGTCTTGAGCGACTACCACTCTTTCAGGCTGGACAAGGAGCAGTTGGAAGCACAAGCTGCAGGTTGCTTCTTTATGTCGACTCTTCCTTGTGCTTTGGCCAGATTGGGAGAGGAACAATGTCTGTCTCTAGACAGTAGAATCACCAATTTTGGTCTTTTTATCAGAAGTTCTCCCTTGGATTTCTTGGACGGTCCTTTCCTTTGATGACTGCAATGCACACTATCGGTGCTAGTAGATGGCAAGACTTGTTCAATGATGTGCCGCCGTGATGGCATCATTCAATTGACTTTCCAACTGGCACATCTGGCACATCTGGCACATCTGGCACATCTGGCACATCTGGCACCCGGCATTGTTTATTTGTGGTGAAGTATCATGAAGTCGTTTTTGGAGCGATGCCGGCGATTCCTTTAGCGATGCCGACTTCAGGCAGTCTTTCCGACTTTCTGGCTGCAAGTTGAACAGTGGCCCAGAGTACGCCCTCCATGCCTACATCAAGGCAGGTTGGCAGCTTCACAGCAGGGAGAGATGGTTTCGGTGATTAATAATGAGATATAATGAGTAAAGGTGAGATGAACACGTGCAACCAAATCGACCAAGGTGGTCACTCAATGAATGAACCTGGTTTGATTGGTTATATAGCCCTTACCCCAAAAGACATCGGTGACATTAGTAGTATGTAATAGTATGTATGCATTTGTTTTCAGCACAGAATAGTATTTTCGAGGACAAACCCTGCAGGAGCTACCTTTGTCACCAACCAGTTCTGGTCCTTTTTGATGTCTTCCCCAAACGTGGTTGGCATGGCCAATGCCACAGCAGCTGGCTGGGGGAACTTGGGCAGCGGTGTTACACAGATGTTTATAATCTCAGTGCTGTTCAATCCAATGGTGAGTTCTGGCATGCCAGCAAACACTGCCTGGCGAGTTGCCATGATCGTTCCTGCTGTCCTTTTCCTGATTTGCGCAGCCACCATGAAACTCTTGTGTTGGGACACACCCGCGGCCAAGCGCTCCGATGTGTCTGTGACTGGTAAGACCCAGAAACCATCTTTGTGGGACTATGTCGCGGTGCTGAAAGACATCCGCATCATTGTGATGATTTTTCAATACAGTGTATGATTCGGCACCAAACTCGCTATGAACAACCAACTGGCCACCCATTTCAGGACCTATTTCCAAATGGATGCGGCAGATGCATC